CGCAACCTTGACATAGTAAAAACAGAATATAAAACGGTTTCACAAACTTTAGGGTCTCTAAAATGAGGTCATGTTAAGGTAGGTGATTAAGCATCTGAGTTTTAGATTTTAAAAATCAGCCTTAAGGCGTAAGCCTTATTTTTAAAATTTTAGCTTTCCAATATGGTAGGCAGTAGTCCCGGCTTTAAGACCGGCATAATACATACAACTCACTCTAATTTATAGCGACCAATCCCGATTTTAGAGCCCCAGCTTCATAATTTTTAAGATCACAATTTGCCTACAGCAAAAACTTTAAAAAACTATAGATAACATATCAAATATACAATAAAGCTCCTGATTATACAATCGCCTTCTCCTGCCTTTAAGTGTCATCCCATCACCTCCACATCTCCATTTCCACCCAACCCACCCAAAGAAACTTAACCCACAAGTTGCGACTAATTCCCATAAGAAAACATGCCCAAGGCTAAAGTTTATTTATACATGTTCCCATCGCTTCAAACTCGAAGCTAATTAAAATGAAAATTCGGAACCACCGGAACCGCCAGCGACCCAAAAATTTTGGACGAAATTTTAGATGGATCGCGCAAAAATTTGAATAAAAAAGCGGCCGAAACGTAGGGAAGGCAAATTAACCCTGCTGAAATACGCCAAAATGAAGAAGATTAGAGCTGGCATAGAGTACAGGAGTAATTACGCAAACGGCCAATTACTCACAATATTGTAGTAGAGCGTGCCAACCTTTACGAGTGTGTGTGTGAGTTTATTTTTAGGCTTTTTTTTTATTTTTAAATTAAAAAAACTTAAAACTAATTTTTAAAAAAATATATTTTTGGATATACAATACAATATACTGACATCTTAAATTAAAATAAACACTGTTTTAAGCCAAAAATTTAAAAACTTTGCCCATTAAGCCGAATATTCAGTTATGCAACCAAATCCCCCCTTTAAAACCATATAAAATTACCACCCTCATTTTCGGGAATATATTCCCTTTATGCTTGTCATCAATATAATCGGAATGGTCATTTTCACTTAAATTCCGAAGGTTGAAATCGTTTTTTCCCCCACTTCCGCAGCTGAAACGAGAAGGAAATGCACACGTTTTTGGAGCCGCAAATTATGCAAATTTCGTCGTGCCAATTTGTGTTTTCAAACGGGTATTATACTTTACAGTAAATGGGGTTTAAAAAGGTATTGTCATGCTTAGATTTGCTTTAAAATTTTTTTCAAAGAAATAATTGAGAAATGTCATTTCATACCTATTAGTTTGTTCAAATAATCCTGTGCCCCCTCTCAAAGCAAATTTTTGAGGTTAGGAATCGCAGAAGTACCTGAACAACCTAATAAAAAAAATTTTCTAAAAATTCATTTTGAAAAAAAAATTTTGGTACAATCCATTTTATACCTAAAAACCCATTCTCAAGACCTAAAACAACATAGCCAATATTTGCCCCCACATCTCTTACATCTCCTCCCCAACTGACAGCCTAATCAAAATATGGACTTTAATAAGACGACAACCTTAAGGAAGTCGGATTGTGCAGTGGAGAAGAAAATAAGCTGCATTTACTGGTCGTCTATTTAGAGACTTGTTTTTGGGCCGAAAACGAGCCGAGTGACCACTTTTATTATAAGCCATTAAAACCGCCGCATTGAATTTGAATCGGGATTTTAATTTTTGAGTGTTTATGGGCATGGCAACAAGCTAAAAGGTAGGATGTGTTGGTAAGGTAAGAAGTCGATCGAAAGGTAGAGATTTCTATTTTGGACAGGCATTAATTGGTGTTGAGAAAAGTAGGTCGTAAGTATAGTCGTGAAGAGACCAGATAAAAAATGATCCTTTAGTTCCCACTCCCTTTACAAAAAGTAAAAATTGAAAAATCCACCCCTTTCCCTCAAAAAATAAAAAAAACACCTGCCCAAGTCTAATACTACAATTGAAAACCTTTTTTAATAATAACTGTTCAAAAAAGTCACCTAATAATAATAAAAATGAACCGTCAAAAGACCTGTCGCATTTCACCGTCAAAACACATACAAGTATACGCCAAGACTTTTAAAACGCCATTTTAAAACCTAATAAATTGTCAAAAACCCCTATCCACGAAAGCAACAGTTCCCAGCAGTACTAATTTATTCGGAAACACGTTTTCATATAATATTTCCGAGACATTTTTTCGACCCGTACAACGTGATTACTCACACAACTAACGGCTATTCTCTGAATAAATTTTAAGAGCTTCAATTCAAGTGGAAAAAGGGGTTCGAAGTGCAAATAGGTTTGAGAATCAGCGATTCACAGCTCGAGGAAATTAAAGCGCAATTCGGTGTTGAGTTACTATAAAGTTGGATTTTAGGTGATTTGGTAAAGACATTATAATACAGTGGAACTGCTGTATAGCAAACTCCTCTATAATTTATATACCAGTAATTTAAAAAAAGTTACCATTGTAAGCATTAAAAAACGCTTGTCGTCGATTTGTACTCATCTACATGTCAAAAAACGCCAACACTTTTAAAAACCCTTAAGAAATAAAAAACAATCCTAAATTTTCATATACAAATTCAAAAGCAGACCCCAAATGCTACCAACAAAGTAAAAACGAATCAAATGACCGTTACCGAGTCGTTCCCTAGGCCATAATAAACGCGTAATCAAATTATTATTCCTTGAGCTCATAAAAACGAGCGCCAATGTCCATTAAGCCGGATTGCTAATGAGATTGGTCGCGTTTTCGGTTACAGCCAACTTGAAAACGCAATAACAAGAAAATTTGAATAGGAAAAAGTGAAATTCTGGTGAAACTTGGACAAGGTAACATATAAACTTCAATAATAAACTCTGATTAGTAAATTTGGTCTTTAATTTCAAATTTTAATCAAACTTCAAAAGTAAAGACAAAGCCAAATTTAAAAAAAGAAGCTTGGCTGGTTAGTTATGTGTTGTATTATATATATAGCATTAGACATGCAAGACATAGTAAGTAAATAACATCAAACATGTATGAATTCAAATATATGATCTTTTACTGCTGTCAGTCAAAAAATACTTCTTTTAGGTAATTGTTTCTAAATTTTGAATACTAAACATAATAAAATGTCAAAAGGAGTCTTGTCGTTTACCCTAAAACACCTTAAAATACCTAGAACAACAAAAATACAACAAGTGATAACAAAAAAGCCTGTTTGCCAAACCGCAATGTGGCCAAATAAAAATGAGAGGAAATCGCGAGGACAAAAAACGGCGGAAGAAAACACCGACAATCAAATTCCAATCAAAAAGCGACAATTTTATGACCCACTCAACAACATATCCGTCCAGAAACATTCGACGAATAAATGGCATATAACAAGGTTTTTTGTAGTTAGGTTGGAAAAACGATGGTATTAGCAATAAACCTATTGGGTAATGTAACGTGATCAGAAGATATGTGAATAGCATTGACGTGATATAAGAAAAAATATGAAAGTTATAAGACAATCAAAGATACAGATAAACCATGATTTATAAGTGGTAATCAAAAAGAGATATAACAATATCAATAAAGAAAGCTTTTGATCAGCTTTTTCCTCATGTGCATCTCTGCCTACAGTACCTCCAAACGCTATAGATTCACAAATTTAAAGCCTAGCAAAGATCCAGTTCGAAACCGCGCTCGACTTTGAACTAAAGGCAATAAAATGTCAATAAACGGTCGATTGTTTTACCGGCTTTCCTTTTTTTGTAGGCAACTGACTTTTGGGAGTTGCGGGAATACTCTTTATTATCCCAGTTTACGAGCGACAAATTGTAAAGGGGAAAAGTGGGCCTGGATCAAGCTGTTTTCAGCTCAGACCTTGAAATTTTTAAAATAAAAAAAAATTAATTTGACCAAATTTCGTTACAAAGCACTTCTCAATAATACAGTGATGTCCGTTATACAAAAACTTCACTGTAATACTATAAGTCATTGCACACCAAACTCCAAAACAAATCCTCAAAAACCCAAAAAAATCACTAACCTCACCACTCGAAAAGACTTGAAAATTATATTTGTGGTTAAATTATTCAAAACGGTCTTCGAAATGGCGCACAAATGTCAAGTAATCGGTTCTTTTTGGCGGAAACAAAAGCTTTCCCCTGTCTTTACAATATTGATGAATCGCTGTTATGCAGTCCTGAAAAAGTATCACTGAAGCTTTATTGGAATACATTTGGAAGTGGATATGGATCGCATAATGACATGTTACTATTGAACGTATATATAATGTATAAGTATAAATATATATAGGTAATGCTGAAGTAAAGACATACAAAACAAAATTTACATACGCTAAAAAAGTCTTGTCGTTTCTCAACGTGTAAGTACATACAAACTGACGACAAGACTTTTTCCATCCCTAGTAAATAATTTTTGTCCTGATTCAAAATTAAAACGACAAGTAATTGAAATTTTTAGATACAAAATTTTATAAAAAACAACAATGAAACCTAAAATACAAAAAGGCACGCCAAAAAAAAACCTTACAACATAATAAAAACCAAGGTAACATTATCAAGTTAGCTACTGTGTAACGCTCAAAAAATAAGCACCGTTTACGCAATCTCAATTCACCACGTCCATCTCTATTCATTTACTCTTCGTCTCGGCTCATTTTCCGTTTTTTCGCAATTTTCAAAAATACGACAGTAATTTGAGAAAAGTAGCCGTCAATTCGGTTACTTACCATCGCGTGGGCTTCAGTAGAACTGGGTTAACCAGTATGAACAATCACACAATATAGTATAATAAATCCTTCAAGAACAATAAATAGACTCAAAGCAAATTTAGTTCAAACAAAAAGTAAAAAATAGCTATAACAACCAAATAAAAACTATAAGAACCAAATAAAATAAAATAAAAGTTACTGAAACCCATAACAATCTGATAAAACAATAAATTATGTCAACATTAAAAAATTTATTTTTCTTAATAACGAAAACAATATCCTATATGACACAAATCTCTTGATTATGGTATGTCTCTGGTGGCTGTCGCTGTATTGCCAGTATATGTCGTGTCAATTGCATTTGTTGTTGCGTGGGTAGTTCCACCGCCTTGTGTAGTATCCTATAAAGTTTAAAATTATCAAATTACAAAAGTTTTGTAAACACAATACACCAAAAATATTTTAAAAGTCAATTATCTTTTTAAAACAACCATAAATTATACGACAGTATCCATATAACTAATATAAAACATATTTTACTCAAAAACCCACCGTCTCCACAATATCACTGTCCTTTTCCTCTTTGGCCTTCTTCTTTGCCATCTTCTTCTCCCTTTTCTCCTTCTTTTTCTCTTGCTTCCTCAACTTTCTCTGCAGTCTCTTCTCCGGATCCTCTTCTCTGTTCGCCAATCTTGTAAACACTTGCTCCAGAGAATCTTGTACTAGATAAAACTCTTTCACCACCTCACTACCATACATATCGTTCAATTCCTTCACAAACTTCTCAAACTTTTCGTATGTTTGACTCCACAAGACCTTCTTCTTCTTCGGAAGTGTCCATGATAAGGCACTGTGCTTCTCCGAAATATCCTTGGCCACAACTTTGAATCTGACACAGACTTGATTGTCGACAAAATCCATCGTTTCTTTGCTGGCTTCGGCTATGATGAATGTCAACGCGTACGTGTTTCCGTAGCGACTCTTCAGATGTTGACTAGTGCCTACACCACAAAGTCGACCACCTTTCAAGAAGCCGATTCTAGTGCATAGTGCTTCGCACTCTTCCATCGAGTGAGTCGTGAGCAATATGGCTTTGTTCTGGTGCCGCATAGCTGTAAGAAGGTCCCAGATGTGCCTTCGTGTAGACGGGTCTACTCCAGCTGTTGGTTCATCTAGTACCAAGAACTTAGAGCCCGACATCAAACATACGGCAATCGATAAGCGACGTTTTTGGCCTCCACTGTAAAGATTAAAAACTAAAAAGCTGTCTTTTTTGTGACATACCTATAAGTACTGACCAAATCATTAGCCTTCGAAGTCAATAATACACATTCCAGCACCATATCAACCCTTTCATCTACTCCCGCAAACCCATTCAGCCTTCCCAGCAATGACAACGTTTCTCGACCAGTCAAACTTGTTGATAACGCATCAAATTGAGGACAGTAGCCAATTTGAGGTGTATCTTCCACATCTTCCCCGAAGATCGTCGCTGAGCCACTGGTTGATACTGTCATGTTAGTTATCATGTCAAAGGTTGTCGTTTTACCTGCTCCGTTAACTCCTAAAGAAATTAGATAAAAATTAAGATAAAACTCATTTAAAAATAAAAAAAACAAAATAACTTTATAGAGCTTATGTTAACCTACCCAAAAGTCCAAAACACTCATTCGAACCAATAGCAAATGACAAATCTTGTACTGCACATTTATTTTTTGAGTAAAATTTGTACAAATTTCGAATGCACAACGCTTGATCTCCATCTGACAATGTTTCTATTCGTTTCCTTTCCTCGTCTACATCAACATCTTCATCTACAGCCGGTATTAGGCTCTAAAATCATATCTTTGTAATACATTGAGCAAAAATCATAAAAAAACTTAGCTCTTTCATAAAAAGCGTTCAAAATTTAAAATATTTTAAAATCTAATAAAACATTATAAGACTGATCATAATTAAGAGCACCTAATAGATAATATAGCACTCACATCCTCAAACTTCTTCGCGTGTCGTTGTTCAAAGAACTTTCGGATCCATCCCTTTTCAATGACAACCAGTAGTACTCCGTATAAAAGTACATTTATACCAAGTCCAAGCAGAGCTAACAGATTCTCATTTTTCGGTTCTAATTGGAAAAACTTTTCGTTGTAAATCGAAGTGATCGATGAGTTTCTTGTACAAATAATCGCCGTTGAAGATTGTGAGATAGCCAAGTTCAAGGAGGGAAAGATTCCTCTCATTAATATCTAAAAAGACCATAAATAGAAAATACTAAACTATAGCACGAAATAACAATATCTTTAATAAAAAGTATGTTTCTTTAACTACTTTATGATTTTTGTTTCGAAAAATAGCAAGAATTCATAAAAGGTATGTCCTCCCCCCCCCCTTCCTAAAACCTCTCTTAAACTCACCATAATTCCACCAGCTTCTTTCACATCTTTGAAACCGAATATTATGGCAATAATCGACGACACACTCATGTAAGTAATCATTACGAACAATGGCACCACTGAGTGAAACGACATTACAAATACCAATCTTTTTGTCGGTGAACCAAATGCATAACTGAGAACATAATTAGCTAATGATGATCCGGTAAAGTACAATATCAAAATTGGCACTAGTCCCAGACTGCATGCAAAATTCAATTTTAAAGCGTAAATCATCAAGCCTGTTGATAATGTAGCTAGTGGAGCAAAGTAAGAAAGATCTGTTGTGAATTGGACTAGCCAGTAGAGAAAGCGAGTCGCTGAGGCAAGGTGTAACTAAAATTATTCATTACTAGGCATCAAAAGGATAATATTAAGTCCACTGCATTCTTTTCCGTCCTTGTCTTACCTTGAATTATGTTACCCTACTCTACCGCATCCAAAACCATAACCTACTCTATATCGAGTTACTGTTACTATGAAAAAACGCTACGCTACATCAGAAGCCTCGTAGTTTACATAAAACAACTTTTAGCTCATTTCATTCCAACTTTTCATATTGAAACATAGAGAAACCAATTTAACCTCACCTGATGTTTAAACTTGACAACTCGTTCCGTAATTACTGTATTCAACAACATTGTTATTCCAAACGTAAGAACAAAGGTTGCCAACACACTTGTGAATATTGCTTCAATGTCCAAACTCAATTCTTCTGCTGTGATTCGTCCCTTCTGAACACCAACTTTTATGTTGGCTAAAATAACAAAAAATAGTCATTACGTTAAGCCTAACGCCATAATTTAAACAAACTTTAAGCAAAAAGTATAAAAACGTAATGTTATACTAGATAAAATAGAAATAAAAAACAACAGTAACGCTACTTTTTTAAAATAATGCTTTAAATTAAAAAAACAACTAATATAACATCAAAATCTTACTCAAAATGTCATTGTTAAACAGTAGATTATGAAAAACATTGAGGGCCATAACTTTCCCTCCAGATAGATAGGCATTGCTCACTAAATAAGCCGTGGAATTCCCTGGATTATGAAAATAGCCAATTGAATAGGGTGGAAAGTCAAACCAAGATTTTCTCAACCCATCAATATCAAATGACATTGTTTTAAAGCTACAGTAACTGCAATATTTCTGTTTTATGTGATCTGCGGAGTTCGAAACAACGGTTGATTTGGGTAAACGTCTGGTGAACATTGTTTGATCCGCCCCTAAAATTAGTTTTAAAATTATATTCTTTTTATCAAACATGGCATGGTAAGAAATAAAGTAGCTCTTAAAGAAAGATAAGTAAAAATGGATCAAAAGATACAAAGAACAGGTCGAAATGTGCCAAAAAACTTGCACTGTAGTGCCGAATTCGCTTATACAACCTTCTGAATCACTTATTTTATTCCACAAACTTCTAAAAAAAGTATTTTATACCCGAAGATAGGATAAAACGACGCTAGGACAAATGCAGTTTTTGGACACTTGCGGATTTTGGACATTTGCGGATTTTTTAAAAGTTTTTTTTTATTTTTTAGTTAATTTAGTTGTATTATGTTACTAAATTGTACTAAAGTTTAAGTAGTGTAGGGTTAAGGTGAAGCTACTATAAGGTTAGGAAAAGAGTAGGGAATAAGTAGGGCAACAGTAAAAAAAGAGTAGGACAGAGCAAGGGTAAGAAAGAGGTAAAGCAGTGGTAGAGCAAGGTTAGGATAAGGCGAGGGCAGGGGTAAAGCAGAGGTCAGTCAGGAATCAGTCAGGGTTAAGACAACGGTAAGGCAAGAGTAAGGTAGGATGGAATAAATGAAAAGCTACCCTAGGGCTAGGGTAGGACAAGGCTAGGGAAGTTAAAGGAAGATAAGTGTATCGTAAAGGGATTGAACAATATTTTCATTGCTTAATATAAAAATATGGCGCTAGGACAAATGCGGTTTTTGGACATTTGCGGATCTTCGGTTTTTGGACACTTGCGGATTTTTTAAAGGTTTTTGTTTATTTCTTAGTTAATTCAGCTGTATTATGGTACTAAATTGTACTAAAGTTTGAATTGGTACGGTTTTAACATAACAGTACCTTTTTAGGTTTTTAGTACTATTTAGTACCAAAAATATAAAAACAGTACCGATTAAAAATTTAGTACTATTTAACATTAAGAAATATTAAGACAGTGCCAATTTAAACTTTAGTACCATTTAGTACCATACTACAACTAAATTAAATAAAAAATTAAAAAAACCCCATTAAAAATCCGCAAATATCCAAAACCCGCAAGTGTCCAAAAACCGAAGATCCGCAAATGTCCAAAAACCGCATTTGTCCTAGCGCCGATAAAACCTACTGTGATGTGAAGCGTCATGGTCATCACTGTCTTCATCCAAGTTGCCAATAAACAAGCAAACATGAATCAAAATACACATTAAAAATGGCAAAATGTACCTTGTACGGAAGCGACAAAAGTAAATCATGTTCCTATTGGTCAGGGCAAAAAATTGAGTTAAAAAATTCGGATTTCTTTCATCTGAAATGTCATTTTTTTTAAAATCAAACAAAACCTAACTTTTCAAAGAAAAATCAAAAAATTTCATTTTTATCATTTCGTGAAACAAAAAAAACTTAATTTTTAGTCAGAAAAACCAACTTTTAATAAAAAACGCTTTCTGCTAACTAGAATATAAACAAAAACTTTAAAAATAAACTTACGATCTTGTTTTTCAATTTTCTTGGCATTAGAAACAATTTTTCCCGATACTTTATGACCGCTCTCCTTCTCCGCCTTCTCTCCCACCTTGATGAATACCTGTTCCAATGTGTTCACGCTCAACCCAAATGAATCAATCTGCAAGTTCTGCTTGTTCATCTCCAATTGTCTGAATAGTTTAACAAAGTGCTTTTTCGAGTCGTACGGTAAATTGATTGTGAATTGTGAAGCTGGACTTCCCAACATTTTGGAACCTTCCGCGTTTTTCTTCACCAAACTCAAAATCTTTTTACAAAATTCGTTTGGAGGTTTGGCTGTTGAATTCAAGGTGATTACAAGCAAGAATCCTGTGCCAAAACGATTTTTTAAGAACGATGAAGATCCGGAACATATGATTTTGCCTTTTACCATTATCATGATGCGGTCTGATAGAAGGTCGGCTTCGTCCATGTAGTGAGTGGTCAAGATGATCGTTCTAAAAAACAAAACTTTAAAAAAAAACAACACAATAAAGCTTAAATTAAAATAGATAAGAAAAATATAAAACAATTTTACCTACCTATCATCTTTAAATTGATCCAAAATGTCTCCAATCTGCCTTCTGGCCGTTGGGTCCATTCCAGCTGTTGGTTCATCCAACAGTACCACTTTACTCCTTCCAACCAATGCCATAGCTACACAAAGCTTTCGCTTCATTCCACCACTCAGATCCTTAGCCAACACTTCAACCGCATCTTTCAAACCAACTTCCTCCAAAATCTCTAGACAGTCGTCGTCTCCAGCAAAAGAATCTCGCAGATGGGCTGCCAGACGCAAATGCTCAATGCAAGTGAGCTTGTCAAACAATGGATTACCTTGCGGACAGTATCCAATGTATTCTCGCGCTGCCGACAAATCTTCTTCAACAGCCACATACCTAAAATTACATCAGAATTTAAAATACAACGTTATCAAGAACTCTCACTTACAACTAAATCAACAAAAATACCACTTTCTGTAGCAACTACCTAACATAATCCATAAAATCAACTTTTAAAAGATATTTCAATTCTTACGTTACCTAAAACAATAAAAATATATCAGGAAAAGCCCGAAACGAACCTACTTTAACCTCTCCGGCAGTCGGCTTCGTATATCCAGTTAGGCAAGAAAATGTAGTCGACTTGCCAGCTCCATTATGACCCAATAAGGCTGTAATATCACCAGGATAAGCTTGAAACGTCACTCGATACACTGCGTAATTTGGCGAATTATTCCATCGCTTTCGGAGGCCCAGTACCTAAAAAATTGTAAAATAAAGTATAAAATTAGGCAACATAAAATTTTAATAAAAAACCTATAAAATCACGTTCCTTTTTACGATTTTCTTTGCAAAGGCAACGTGCATGATACTTTACAGGTAATACAAGGAAAACAACCAAATTTTGCTTTTTTATTAACGCGAAATGTCACAAATTCAAAGTTAACGAAACGTCACAGCTTGCAAAAAATTTTTCGTATTTTACAATAAAACCTATTTTAATTTTTTTATAACACGTTACTTGATTTCACTTCTATTTACCTTTAAAATATTACTTTAGACTTCAACTTACATCAACTCCAGGTTCATCAGTTCGATTTACCGGTTCAAAATCGGTTTCGTCCAATTTTACCGAAATTTGTTTTTCGGTGTGTTCCTTCTTCCTACATCTATCCCACAGAGCGCTAAAATCAATCGATGCTGAGTCTACACTTGGAATTACAAAGTCCATAACAATGGTTAGGCCCATGATGAATAGGGTGTCCACGATCAGGAAAATAAGGGCGTGTAGCAAGTTGAAACGGAATCTGAACGATGAAAAGACGGATACAGGAGCACCTGAAGGTTAATTTTGTTTAATTTGTTTCGGTTTGTTATAAAAGCTAAGGTTTTTAAAATTATTTGCGGGTAATATTGTCAAGATAGATACTTTAACTTAAACATAAACATACCAAACCTTTCCGAAGCCTCCAAATCAGCTATGCCCATGGAGAGAGCTGCCACTGGATTCAAGGCGAAGAAACACATTCTGGCCACTCTCAATCTGTTAATTGCTGTCACTTTAGCTAACCCGATCAATCCAATGCTTCCAATCATGTTTACTGTAACTGACAGTCCAATTCTTTGTATTAGTGTAGCGCAAAGTAGGGCAAAGGCTACTGAATATAAGGCGAAGAAGAAGGATAATACGAATATGAAGAAGGAGACTTTGAACTGAAAAGAAAACGTTATATAATATTGTACAAGGCAGGTTAATTTCTAGTGGAAGATGGGTTTTGAGAAGGGGGAGGAGGGTTGATTTTTTGGTTTTTTTTGGCAGGGGGGGGCGGGAAGAATGAAGAAGGGTAGAAATGCGATTTACAAATACTTTTGAAAACCTTACCTTAAGAACAAAGAAAAAAGAGCCAGCCACCAATACCATGACTATTAACATTTTAATAGAGCCCACAATGAATACAGTAAAGTAATAGCTGATCCTTGACATTCCCATTACTAGTAAATACGTCTGAAAATTCAAAACAATTCATTGGTTTGTCTAAATAATTCTGTGCCCTTCTCAAAGCGAATTTTGCGGCTAGGGGGCACAGAATTATTTGAACAAACTAATAAAAACTCAAGTTTTTTATTACAGCTTTATATTTTATGCAAAATACAACGTAAATTACCTTCATTTCAGTTTCAATCTCATTAACGACGTCCTTTATCAGCATAGCCATGGGGATTAGTGTTGCGACCACAAGAATAATATGAATGTAGCTGAAGGTGATTGTTATCACGGTCGTGTCGTATTTTTTTAAAGGAAAATAGCCTGCCAGTGGCTGAAAAGCATAAATTTATTATTTTGAAATGTATTACTATGTTTACTTCAATCAGTTTAAAAATTATTTTTATCAACTGAATTTAAATCTTACCATAATATTATTCGAAATCCCACAAAGTTTCAACAAAATCGTGTCGACAAAGTTCTGCATCATAACGATATTGTTTTCGCTTTCTTTTATCCTGCCAAGCTCGGCATCAGCCAAACCTGGTCCAATGTAGGGTTCATTGTTCAGCCATTGGCCGGTTACATCATTCGTTGTTATGTAATATTCAAATTGTTTGTTGGCTATGTCAAACTTTCGAAACACCACATCAAATTGGCCATTACGTCCAATATCCACCACCTCTACTCCGCCAGCTCCAAACGCCAGGTTTTCAAAGGCTGTGTAGTCTTTGCTTCTAATATTTCTGAAATTTTTAGGTTTATGAATTAAAACTTTGGGCAGGTAAAAAATTTGGGCAAAGCAAAAATTTTGGGCATGGTAAAAATTTTGGGCAGGTTAAAACATTTGGCCATGGTAAAAAATTACGTACCCTACTCGAAGTCTCCCGCGAAACGGTTGTATTGGATTAAAGTTATCATACACTCCTCGTGATGGACTTTTTAATGAATCAAGAGTAAACGCAACACCAATGATAAATGGTATGATGAACAAAGGTACTAGTAACTCGCAGACTATCTGCTTTTTGTTCCGTTTCGATATTAAAAACTCTTTGACCAGCAAAGGTTTTAGATGAGAAGACATTTGGGGGTGAGCTTGTAGTTATAACTAATTCTGGAATTAAAGAAGTTCAAATAGTACGAAAATACATTGGAACTCCTTTATAAAGAAACTCATGTATAACAATCAACTTACGTTTTTATCACTTTGCAGTTTTCTTCGAAAAACGTTGGTATAACGATCGGTGCAGCCGCCTATCAGGCAAAAAAAGTAATCAAAATGACAGAAGTAATGTGCCCAATGGCTCGAAAATACCAGAAAAATGTAAAAATCCCAAATTTAAAAAAATGCATTTTATATGCAAATTAACATTGAAAATTTGATTGTTTTCATATTATCACGTGATTTACGTTTTCGTCATGTATGCAAATTCGTTGTGTAGAACTAATACTTTTAAGACCTAAAGTGTAAACCTATAAATTTATAGAAGTAGTGAACATAACATATACTTCTATATGTATTCAAACCGTTACATTCAAAGGCCTGAAATTAGAATAAGAGTACAACAAATAGCGGTAAAAAGGACCACAAAGATACAAGAAATCAAAGCAACAAATCGTCAGCTTGTTTTTACAAAATCTACCATAAAAACGACTATTTTAAAAAATATGTATATTTATTCCAATTATCACAATCAATAGATCAAAATCCATTTCAATAGCGCCATATCCTCTCTAGTCCAACCAAAAATGCTCTTTATCATTGAGCTGTAGCCAATCGAGTAAAGACCTGTTCCAAAGAATCTTGTACTAGATAAAAGTCGGCTATGACCTCCACTTCTTTATCTGATCCACTTTCCTTCTTATCCTGTTCATTCGATTCCTTAGAACCTGACGTTCTTTCTTTATATTGAGAGTTGATTTCTGTGACCACTCTCTCCACATATTCGTACATGCTGCTCCATGTGACACCAGGCTTCTTGGGGAGTTCCCAAGTCATAGCTCTTTGGTCCAGTTCGTTCGTTAGCTGAATATCAAATGTCTTGGAAATGGCATCGTTAACATACTCCGCGTCCTCCTTCTTCATGTTCTTGAGTATAATTGTCAGGACATAGCTATGGCCGAATTTACTCTTCAAATGCTGACTAGTACCAATACCTCGCAGTCGACCAGCACGTAAGAATCCGATTCTGGTACAGAGAGCTTCGCACTCTTCCATCGAATGAGTCGTGAGTAATATGGCCTTGTTCAGGTTCCTCATGGCTATCAGAAGGTCCCAGATGTGTCTTCGTGTAGCCGGGTCCACGCCAGCTGTTGGTTCGTCCAGTACCAGAAACTTGGAGCCCGACATCAGGCATACGGCGATCGATAAGCGACGTTTCTGACCTCCACTATAAGTCTTGGTCAGTTCGTCTGCCATTTCCGATAATAGGACACAGTCTAGTATCAATTCCACTCTGGCTTTAACACATTTGAAGCCATTCAATCTGCCTAACAAGGTTAAAGTCTCCCGACCGGTCAGGTTGTCAGATAAGGCGTCAAATTGAGAACAATATCCGATTGTCGGGGTTAGCTCTACTGGTTTACCTAAGATTGTGGCTGCGCCGTCAGATGCTGGTATTTGATTCGTCAGCATATTAAATGTAGTGGTTTTGCCGGCACCATTCGTACCTAAATATTTTGTTAAGTATTAAAACCAAGCTAATTATAAGTCTTTAATCATTTTTAAGATGTAATAAATCGCCAAAAACTTATTTTTATTTTTTCTTACCCAAAAGCCCAAAACATTCATTCGAGTCCATTCCGAAGCTCAGCTCATTGACTGCACACTTTTTACCGTAATATTTAGACAAGTTTCTAACTGATAAAGCCAACTTTTCGTCTGGTATTCCATTGATTCTGTCACGTTCTTCTGTAACATCTCCGTCTTCTTCCTCTTCATTCTCCTGAAATATCTCAATATTAAGCATTTAAGTCACCATACTCAAACAAGAAATAAATTGAATTTACAGTTTAATATAGTAATAAATTTTTTTAAGTTAGTCCTTATAAAGCTAAAATAGAATACAGTAATTCATTATCATTTGAAATTCGTCATTTACATCAACTTTTTTTTAAAAAGCACTAAAAGTTGGCTCAAAACTTACAGTTTTATTATGTTTAATTCGACTAAACTTGAATTTCTTTGCTTCGATGAATATCAGCGCTGCCAAATAAATCACACTGCTCAAAGACAATGCACCCAGAGCCGTACCAGCTTGTGTTATATCCGAATATAGTGATGGATCCTCAATGTTTCCTTCAATGCAGCGATCCAACATAGTCATCTGCGCGTTGAACAAGCCGAGCGATGGAAATACCACGGGAAGAACGACCTATAAAAATATTAATCTCAAGTAGTCTTTACAATATCAAAACTGTAACATTAAATAACTTTTTAAAATCAAAAAAAAATTTTTTTAAAATAGCTATATTCAGCCGAAGCTATATATTATAATACGTCCTTACACCAATATAATTTCATAAAACCAACAAAACTCACATTAAGATATTTGATCGACTTGCCCACCTCCTCATTGCCAAACAACATCAAAAGCAACATGCCTATAGTAATCACACAAAACGCTACCATGGGTATGATCGTATGGAACGCCAGTATAACCACAGTACCTTTCGTCGGCGATTCGAAGGCAAAACTCAGTACATAACTCGACAATGATGCGGCAATAAAGTACAGTAGATAAAAAGGTACAACACCAATCGCACACAGAGGTAATGGTTGTACTACTAACAAACTGCATAAGAATACAAATGTCACTAGAACAAAGTAGAACGTAAAGTCCGATAGTAATTGAGCAAGTCAGTAGATAAAGGTTTTGGCTGATGCGAGGTAGATCTGAAAAAGAAAAGTTCTCAATTTTTAAAGTAAAAAACGACATATTGATCTAATTTTGCTATAACAGTTAAGCCTAAAGGAGTTAAAACAAGGAGATAAACCCAGAAGACTTGGCTTCCAGGCCATATCGCGCTCGAGCAGAATACCCAAAAAAAATTATCACAAGCCCAACCTTAGTTTAACAAAAAAAAAGATTTAGAATCTTGCATAATCAGCTATTCAAAAATTACACAGAATCTCGTTATTAACGTAGGTTTACCTGATGTTTAAACTTTTTCACTCTTTCCACTATGACAGACGACAACATCATGGCCATTCCAAAAGAAATCCCAAACGATGAAATAACGCCTTCAAGCAAGTTGTTGGGTGAAAAACCTTTTATTTTGGCCGACTGGACAGCTAGGTATCCAACTTGTATGTGATCTGAAATCAGTGTTACAAGAGATTAGCAATATATGTAAATCAGCTTTAGACTAGTCTCATGCTAGTCTAAACCAAAAACCTCTTTACTCCCCATTAAAACCATAAAACCAATTCTTACCCATTGACCCATCTCCAAACAAGAGGTTGTAGTACACGTTCATAGCTGTCATAATACCCTGATGTAGAAACAGACTCCCACACACCAAAATGTAGCCAGCTTTTTCGAAAAAACCAAAAGATTTCGGAGGATAATCAAATTGACTGTAGCCGTAATTTTTGAAATAATCATCATATTCTCGGTCGATAAACTCGAATTGATCTGACACATTGTTAAAAAAGCTTTTAATACTATCCGATAAGCTTGAACTGACAATTACAGTTGACTTTGGCACGTCTGATATTGACAAAAGCATTTCTTTTTCTAAAAATAAAAATTTTAGTTTAAAAAGATGATATAAAAAGTAAAAAATAATTTACAAATATTTTAAAAATATTATTATAGCTCTCTTTACAGCCAATTAGCACTGCACAGACCACGTTTACAAAAATCATATATCTTGCGTTCAAGTTAATCTTTAACATTTCTTGCCCAGAACTTACCATCACCATCGTAATAAACAGCGGAACTATTATCTCGATCATTCAGGTAAAGCAAAACAAAAGTCAAGAAAGCCACAAAAAACGGTGCCAACGTTCTCGACCAATTACGGTACATGTAAAGGTAGTTTCGCATCATCAATGCCTGCACCTTTTTAGAAATCGTCGGCTTTCTGTCGTCTAAAAAAGAAAAGTTAAAAATAACTTCAATTGATACGCTACTTTATAACGTTAGTCAAGCCCCAAAACTTTTGTCCAAACCGAATGCCCACCTTCTTTCAGCTGTAGCGAAGAAAACAATAAACCACTCACTGTCCTGCTCCTTGATCAACTTGGCATCGTGTTCAATCTTTTCCGTGATTCGCTTACTCGACCTCTTCTCCGCCTTCTCCCCCACACTGATAAACACTTGTTCCAATGTGTTAACTGACAATCCGAACGTATCAATCCCCAATTCTTCTTGTTGTTGTTCCAATTCTTTGAAAACTTTCACAAATCTACGTTTCCAATCGTATGGTAAGTTTATTGTAAATTGTGCCATCGGTGTTCCAGTTAATTTGGCATCTTCTACAACGTTCCGCACGGCATGCAAACACCGTGCCGCCCCTTCGTCAACATTCATATCTGGCTTCAGTGTGATCGTGAGTAGGAAACCTGTGCCAAATCTATTTTTCAGAAAGTTTGAAGACCCAGCACAAATTACTTTGCCTTTCACCATGATCAAGATACGATCTGATAGTAGATCGGCTTCATCCATGTAATGAGTTGTAATAATGATTGTTCTGAAGTAAGATTTTCATTAGTTTCAAAACAACAAAAGTCCAATTTACATCGGTTTCCAGATAAATAAAATTTACATGTTAAGGACAGGAAAATGCTTTGTCCTAAGATTATGTAATGCACCTTGTAACCTAAAAATGTTACCTATTAAAAACGTACCAATTAGGTTTGACCTTTTCCAATATTTCCCCAATTTGTTTTCTGGCCGTTGGGTCCATTCCAGCTGTAGGTTCATCCAACAAAACTACTTGACTCTTACCCACCAACGCCATAGCTACACACAACTTCCTCTTCATTCCACCACTCAGCCGACAGGATAGCTAAAACAAAATCATTTTATCAAAAAATTAAATTTTGAATCATTTATTTTTTTCAAAAAAATCAAATAGAAACGAATACTTCCTGCACTACATACTAGATGATAAAAATGTTTATAAAACCCTATAGTGCTCTACAATACCCTGCTGATGACTTACTACATTAGCTGCATCATCGAGTCCAACTTGTTTCAAAGTTTCGTGACAATTTTGATCTCCACAATATGATCCTCTCAGTCTTCCTGCCAATTTCATATGATCCATACAAGTCAGTTTGTCGAACAATGGATTCCCTTGCGGGCAATAGCCAGTGATTTGTCTTATACCATTCATACTTCTTCCTACTGCCATTCCACACACCTAAAATTAAAAAAAAAGTTCAAATCTAATAAATATTATAATACAATCTTCTAACCTAATAAAAAAAGTAATTATCATTCAAGTTAAAGTAAGTTTATCAGTAAGCAATAGCTCTAGAAAAGTAAAAAGCCTACATTAATATCGCCAGAAGTCGGTGCAAATCCAGTCAAACACGAAAACGTGGTCGATTTACCAGCCCCATTGTGTCCCAACAAAGCTGTGATATCTCCACGATAGGCTTGGAAAGTGGCTCCATTCACAGCATATTCTCCATAACCCCATCGTTTCTTCAGGGAAACAACCTAAAACATATTGATTTAATAAGATTAAAGTCATAATAAAAATAAAACAATGCTTTTAAAACTATTTTAAAACTATCAAAAACAATTTTATCGAATTTTAAAAATATTTTTTAGAAAATTCAAAGAAAGAACTATTTTATCCGGTAAAACATGTCCAACAAAAAGAAAAGAAACATTTGCCAGTCAATAAAGTTTAAAAATTAAACGTTGACTTTATTTCAAAGCCCTTAAGTACGCATTTACACCAAAAAACAAAACAAACCTACATTAACATCGCTTTCAGCTTGCGTATCAGTCGACTCAAAGTCTTCTTTATCCAATATCAGCGAACTCTTTTGACTTTCCGGTTTCTTCTTTTTGCGTTTCATTTTGGCAATACAATTTAGAGAAGCAGTACCTGCATGAGCTAATGCTGTCTCCAGAATCAGGGTCAAAGTAATAGCAATGGTCGTATCAAAGATGATGAAGATCAGAGCGTGAAGGGACGAGAACTCAACAGTAAATCGAGTTGCTGCGTGTATTGGGATATCTAAAGTGGTATTTCGATAGTTAGTTAGTGAGTTAGAATATTACAGTATCTCTGTAAAATTTAAAAAATTTTAACTTTAAAATTAAAAAAAAATTCAAAAATGCCATTTTAGATAAACTTACTATACAGCTGATAAGTGTGAATCTCATCAAAGATAATTGATAAAGCAAAAACTGGATCCAAACAAGCAATACAATTCAAAGCCATATCAAAAAAGTCAATCGTAATTGTGAGAGGTATGGCTAGAAATCCAAAAATCAATAAAACATTGGCAGTTACTGCAAGACCAGTCGTTTTGAAGACAGTAGCACATAACAGCGAAAAAGCGACACACCATGCCACAAACACTATTGTTGTAACAATTAAAAGTAGAAAAACTCTGACCTGAAAGTAAAAATTATTTTCGATTTTTAAGGGCTTTTTTGAAAAAAATCTTTACTTTTTGTAACTTTAGGTAACAAAATATGTTTTCTCGAATTTTATTTCTAGTTTAGCTTACCTTGAGGACGCAAACAAACGGGAATACGATGATTAACATAATAAAAAACATTTTTCCAAATCCAAACACAAAGTGAGAGAAGTAGAAGCTGTAGCGACTCATGCCAGTGATCAAGAGGTAATTCTGAAAAGTTTTAAATATTAATACAGCTAAACCCTTGTAGTATGAAACTCAACAGACTAGCCCAAACATGGACTTCTAACCAAGGTGTGACACTATCCAAGTACTTTTTGATTGAAGCTTTATTACAAAAGGCGGTCAAAAAGCAGTCTTATAATGAGGGTGTCCCACTATTGAAGACCCAATAAGGTCAAAAAATTGAGGGAGATACTAAAGAAGTCTGTAAATTAAAATTTAGTTTGAATAAATCAAAAACCTGGCACAACTTACCTTGATGTCATTTTCAGTTTCAGAAATCAAATCTTTGATTGTAATGGCCATTGGAATCAAACTTGAAAAGACAAGTAGAATGTAAAAAGACGGGTATATCGATGACAACATAGAATTGCGATAAGTTGCTTGTGGTAAATAGTCAAGTAGAAGCTGAAAAAAGTATTATCACATTGCCACATTAGCAAAATTAAAAAAAAATTTTTAGCTATGTCATCTCATGATGAGACGTTAGGTACACATTTTGACACATTTCTTATCCAAAATTTTGTTTAAAAAGTTATTTTTTAAATCTAAATTTTTTTCCAACTTTAAACTTACCCCGCCTTCATACCCTTGTACATCGACCAACCGAAGCAATACTTCATTGACAGAGTACTGTATCGTCGCAAAGATAGCATCTTCCTCGTATATTTTAAGACCAGCTTTTTTGTATGGTCGATTGTACTTCCATCCCACGTCATAATCGAACCCAGCCTTCTTTCTGGAATTGGACTCGTTTTGGTAAATAAAGTACAAAAACTCTTTGGTCTCTGGTGAATACTTTTGAAATCGCACGATAAATGATGACGATTCGTTGCTGTAAGGTCGAGATTTGAAGGTGGTGTTCATGAGGAAGGCAGCTTCTTGCAGTTGGTCGAATTGGGCGTCTGTGACATTTCTAAACATCAATTTATAAACCCCTCCATAACAAACAGAGTCAAAATCACACAAAGCTTTGATAGACAGGAGTTCCACTGTAATTTAAAAATAAAATTTGAAAAAATTCAAACAAAATTGCTCGCCCTCACTAACCGAGCTATCAAAAACATTTCTTTTTAATCAAAAGCTGATCTACTTACTCAACTTCCAAAGTAGGTAAACAATTATCTTTCATTTTAAAGTGTTCTGAATCCATTTCAAGTCCACCAAGATCATTCAAAAGAATCATCAGTAATACGACCGGTAACATAAAGCACGGTATGACAGCAGCATCGTGATTTGCTTCTTGATGCAATCCTCAGGTCCTTTACCAGCAATGCTGCCAGCTGACCCAAGGCCATTGATGAACTGAAAATTATTAAATTTACTGTGTTTATATGACACAAAAAATATAACTGTAAAAACATTATTTTTTCAAAATCAATATAATTACAAAAAAACGAAATTAACAGATAATATCCAGTTTTACCTAAAACCCTTACATTAATAGTGCTCAGAAGTTGAAAAGCACTCAAAGCCGAGATTGTAGAGTTCAAATAGCTTTTTTGCTTAATGCCGAGTCCGACAATGAAACCACCAACTGATTGTAAGAGTAGAAAAACAGTAAAATGACACTTTTTTTGCAAAAAAATTTGAAAATATGCTAATTTCTGAGAATATATGAGAAAAAAATTATTTATAAATATGCAAATTCTTTTAAAAAATTCTTTTAAATCTGCTTTTTAGTAAAATTTTAGATTTTACTCAGCTAAAATACGTTTGAAAAAGCATAAAAAGTCATATTAAACTATGTTTGTACAAAAAGTTTTAAAATTTTAGTGTCATGCTATATAGCACGAACAGCACCTAAATGATAATTATGCCGTTTTACATGCTTAAAAAATAATTTTGTGATTTTTTATGTACTTTAATTAAAACCTTATTTTGTTCAAGCAGATTAGAACCACCGACCATAAACGTCAAACTAATGCGTTACCATTATACCACAAAAACCCACCATTAAAAATTTGTTTTAAAAATTCATTCTAAATCAGAATTTTATGCTACTTCAAAACCTGCACTCCAAGCCTGCCGCATTTGGGTCTCCAAAAAGTTGCGACAACTTTAGTGTTGCCGAGTAACAAATTGTAATCTTATAAATTACATAAATATATTCCTAAATTATAGGACCCACACTATTTATTTATCTTTCATATATCATGCATATATATGGAATAAGACACTGGTGATATAAGACAGCCTAGTGCCAGGCTGCCTTGTTAGATGGCTTGGGATATAGAGCCGACCTATTGACAGGTCGCCCTTTTGGCTGAGCTTTGGTACGACCTCTTGCTGGGTCGTCGCGTTCCAAAACTGAATGTGAAGTCTGATCGCTTCGCGATCTAGACAGTAGGCAGAGCCACTTTATTCACACTGCTACTAACAGTGACAGTGAACTACAGCGACTTTCAACAAACAGTAGTAAGTCCATTCTATTCAGTATAGCCAATTATCTTAGTAAACTTAAAATTTTGTGTTCTTATGTTTAACAAAATTTTCTTTTCAAAGTGAAATTACGTTTAGTGCTACATAGCACCATTAGATATAAACCAACAGAGAATAATTTGCTAGGTTTATTGAGACACAGTTTAGAATCTTCCTGATAATGCGTTTTAAATCGGTTTTTTCCTGAGTTAGCACCTTTGAATAGGCCGATTTTACACCAAAGAATTTACTCTTTATTTAGTTATGTTCATTTAGCTGTAGCCAACCGAGTAAAGACCTGCTCTAGAGAGTTTTGGACCAAGTAAAAGTCTGATACGATCTCTTCCTCTTTTGATGCTACCCGTTCTTTAGATTCTTGTGATTCTTTTGAATCAGCAGTCTTTGATTTGCGTTGAGAATTAATCTCTCTGACCACTCCCTCCACTTTCTCGTATATGCTGCTCCAAGAGACGTCTGATTTCTTTGGAATGTCAAAACTAATCGATCTTTGATCCAAGTCAGTAGACGGTGAAATATCAAAGGCTTTAGAAACCACCTTATTCACGTACTCTGCGTCTTCTTTCTTCAAGCTCTTGAGAATGATTGTGAGCACATAAGAGTTGCCATAGCTACTCTTGAGATGCTGACTAGTACCAATACCTCTTAGTCGACCAGCGCGTAAGAAGCCGATTCTGGTACAGAGAGCTTCGCATTCTTCCATCGAGTGAGTCGTGAGTAATATGGCCTTGTTCAGGTTCCTCATGGCTATCAGAAGGTCCCAGATGTGTCTTCGTGTAGCCGGGTCCACGCCGGCTGTTGGTTCATCCAGTACCAAGAACTTGGAGCCTGACATCAGACATACCGCGATTGATAAGCGACGTTTCTGACCACCACTATAAGTCTTGGTCAACTCGTCTGCCATTTCTGATAAAAAGACACATTCTAGTACCAGTTCAACTCTGTCCTTGACGCTTTTGAAGCCATTCAATCTGCCTAACAAGGTTAAGGTCTCTCGACCGGTCAGGTTGTCAGATAAGGAGTCAAATTGAGGACAATATCCTATCGTCGGTGTTTGCTCTACTGGCGTACCTAATATGGAAGCTGAGCCATCAGATGCTGATGTTTGGTTTGTCAACATGTCAAATGTGGTCGTCTTACCAGCTCCATTTGTACCTAAAATCATATTTATATCAAATTATCCTATCTTTTTAAAAATTTGAGTAAAATTTGTTTTTGCTTTTGACAAAAAGTTAAAAAATTGTAAAATAACTATTTCAACTTACCCAAAAGCCCAAAGCATTCGTTGGAATTCATTCCGAAGCTGAGTCCTTGAACCGCCCACTTGGTACCATAATTCTTGGATAGATTTCTGACAGCCAAAGCCAACTCCTCGCCTGATATTCCGTTGATTCTGTCACGTTCTTCAGCAACATCAGCATCTTCTTCGTCTTCATTCTAAACTTGTACCAGATTTTAGATTTTATGTAAAAACAAAGTGCTTTATTCAAGTCCAGTTGATATTAATATGACTACAATATATTACTTTGGTCATTCAAGCCAAATAAGCGTTTAAAATTCGAAACAAATAATTGAACTTACGCCTGGATTTTCTTCTTTTTGCTTACGCTTCAACATCTTAGTTTCAATCAATAGCAAAATTGACAGATACACCACACTGCTCAAGAATAATGAGCCCAGAGTCATGCCAACCTTTTTCGAATCTGTGTACATTGAAGCAGACAAATCTGCTTTTGCTACACACACTTCAGACAATGCGTCCTGGGCGGTCACCAAGCCAAGAGTTGGCAAAAACACACTTAACATAGCCTGAAAATAGTGCAAATTACAGTAATTAAAATTGATAAAGAAAGAAAAGAGAAAAAGACGTAAGCATTTATTGCCACATCGCTGCTTACCTATTTTGTCCGTAAAAAACCAAAAAAAAACATTTAAACTTACTCTAAAGTACATAGCCTGATCAGAAAAGCCACTTAAGAGGCGCCCCGCTTCATGAACAAACAAAATAATACAAAAGTGTAGTATCAACGGAATGACGGCATGAACTGCCAATATGATAACAGTAGCCTTTGTTGGAGATTCGAATCCAAGACTAAGCACGTAGCATAAAAATAAACCGGAAAAGAAGTAGAGAAAGTAAAATGGTACTATGCCGAGTGCACAAAGAGGTAATGGTTTTGCTACCAACAAATAGCATACAAACACAAATGTCACCAGAACAAAGTAGAACGTAAAATCTGATAGTAATTGAGCCAGCCAGTAGATGAAGGTTTTTGCTGATGCTAGGTAGATCTAAAAAAAAGTTATCAATTTTTAAAGTAAAATTTTAATCTACTGTTGCTATAAGGATGAGCTACTAGGCAAGGCCGAGACCGAGCTTAGTGGGCCCACTAGGCCTAGCCGCAAAGTGCAGAAGCTAGAAAAAGGACCTTCATACCAAAAAAATTTTTACCACAAGCCCAACCTTAGTTTGACAAAACAAAAATTTAGAATATTGCACAATCAGCTATTCAAAAATGACACAAATCTCGATATTAACGTATTTTACCTGATGCTTAAACTTTTTGACTCTTTCCACAATAACAGACGACATTATCATGGCTAGTCCAAAAGAAATTGCAAACGACGTAACGAGACTTTCAATTAGATTGTTCAACGGGCTTTTATTCTCCTTAACTTTACTCGTATCTACATATCCTACTCGAATGTGATCTGAAAGAAAGTACCAACGTTTGCAATGTTAACATACAAAAGTAAATAGCCAACCTGCAATTCGTAGAGTTTGCTCAAAATTTTTATATTATTTTTTACTGTGTCAGTGCATATATAGTAGCTTGCGATTTCTAGTTTTAACTTAAGGGGTTTAGTCACAAAAGTATCCTGATTTCATCAACACCTACCCATAGTATCATCTCCAAACACCATATTGTAGTATACATTAATGGCCAGCATAAAACCTTGATGCAGAAACGCGCTTGCGTAGAACCTATGTTGTCCATCTTTTTCAAAAAAGCCAAAAGATTTCGGAAGATAATCGAATTGACTGTAACCGTCTAATTTCGCATATTCATCGTATTCCGTCTCCACAAACTCGAACTGATCCGATACCTTGCTGAACATGGTCTTGATCTTACTCGAAAGACTTGGACTGACAAGTACGACTGACTTTGGGACCGTTGACAAAGATAGATCCATCTGTCTTCCTGGAAGTTAAATTTTGAGCTTTTAATGGTTGATAATAAATCAAGTAAACCAACAATGTCAAGCTGAATAAGCGTTGAATGTACCTCAGCTTTGAAAAAACGTACCAACAGCAGTATTAATAGTGCCAATATGTGGATCCCTATTTACTATGTAAAGCACAACAAAATATTCAAACAGAAGAAACAATTTAAATGTTAAAAATGTCAATGCTGATTCCTTTAGCCATGGCCAGCAATCCGAAAGTCAGCACAATATTTGCAGTCAAAGCAAGCCCAGGCTTTTTGAATAATGTAGCACAAAACAGAGCAAACGCTACACACCATGCGACAAACAATATTGTTGCCAGAATTACGATAAGAAACAAGTTAAACTGAAATTGAAGGTTTGAGCTTTTTCAAGGTAGAACAGCACAAGCAGTTTTTTTGAAAGTTGAACAGAAAAAGTATGACTATGTTACCTTAAAGATACCCTTGAAAGGCAGTATGACAATGAACATGATTAAAAACATTTTTATAAATCCAGTAACAAAGTGGGAGAAGTAGAAGGTGTAGCGACTCATTCCAGTGACCAACAAGTAATTCTGAAAAGTTTTCTCAAAAAAAAGTAAAATTAAATTTAAATTGTTACAGACGTACCCTATTTTTGATATTAGTTTTGGCACTTTTTGAAACTCAACGCCTTAAAATGAAACTAAAACCTTCAAAGTAAGTAATCATTATAATAAACTTACCTTAATATCATTTTCCGTCTCAGAGATCATATCTTTAATAGTAATGCACATTGGGATCAAACTTGATATGGCAATCAGTATGTAAAGAGATGAATACATTTCTATAAGATTTGAACTCTTAAACTCTACTTGTGGCAAGTAACACAAATGAGGCTGAAAAAAAAATTTAATTTTAAAATTTTGTGTCAATTTTCAAGAAATATTTCAAAATTTCGGTTCTATTTTTAAAACTAAACATATTTTTTAAAACTAAAACACTTTTTTTAAAATCCAAAAAAAAATAAAATTCCAAAATTATTACCTCAGGTCTTTTCACATTACACAATCGAATTAAGACCTCATTCACATAGTATTGTACTTCTGTGTAAAAGAGTATTTTTGGATACAAAGATCTGTCACTCTTTTTGTATGGATTATTAAATTTCCATCCCACATCGAAATTGTATATCCTTCTATGAGAAGGTTTGTTCTCTTCAGTCAAAAGGTATTCAAATTGCTTTGTTTCTGGAGAGAACTTTTGAAATTTAACAATGAACCGATTGTCTTCTGAAGGTTGATAGGGTCGGGGTATGAAGGTGTTGTTCATGAAAGAGGCAATTTGTTGAAGTTTCTTGAATTGTTCATCAGTCACGTTTCTAAACGAGTGTTTTTAAAATATTAGGTGCCAACATAAAGAACCCGCCATACTTTTCCTGTAAAAAATGGCGGGTTTTTTATGTCGGCACTTAATATTTTGAGACGAAACTCGCCCACTAGGTCCAAAATCGGCTTCTCCCCAAGGTTTAGCCCGTAAGCCGGGTCAAAATATTGGGCCCGGCCCCTTTCCAGGTCTAATTTATAAACCATACTCACTCAACTTTAACCTCATCCAACATTCCTGGATATAGCCTGCAATCGAAAGGCTGATATGTCATTCTATCAAGATCACGGTAAACTACCATCAATATTCCGACTAACACCACACAGCAAGGTATGAGAAATTCCAAAAAACATCGTTTTTTACTTCGCAATATGATCTTGAGGTCTTTTACTAGCAATGCTGCTAGTTGTTGACTAAAGGCCATGGGTGATCTGAAAAGTAAATGCCAATGTAATTTTAAAAAATATTTGAAAATGCTTTAAAATACGTCATTTTTATTTCAAAAAACTGCAAATTAAAGAAAAATTACATTATATTTTATAAAACATTACTTTATATTTACAAAAATACCTGAAAATATAAAAATTTAAAATAAACTTTTCAAACGTAAGAGTAAAGTAAAATTCCAAGTCCTCACCTTGACCTGACACTGTAAATTCTAGCAAAAAATGTAATTTTCAATAAAAGTATTAAAACTTACCGTAATAGTACTCAAATTGCAAAACATGTACAAATAACCTTGTAGTTCAAATCGTTTTTGCAGTCGGTAAATCGACCGACGGGAAACGAACGTTGAAAAATAGTAAACTGAGAATTTGGTTGGGAGTCAAATTATAATCAAAATATGCTAATTTATGTGTATTTTTTGAAAATACATAGTTTTTTTTTTAAATTTCACTTTAAAAATTACAAAATAACTCAAAATGAACTTTCTATGAGCGATTTTGGCTTCTATAATATGAGCGGTAGTCACATGTGATTCGGTCAGGAGGTGTAATGTGCTTGGGTCAGTATGGGATTCAGTCAGGACAAAAAGAAATATGTGATTCAGTCTCCCACCAGCGGCACCGATCAATAAACCACCGAACTCAGGTTCGACCGACAGCTTCGCCCGGCCCACGGGCATTTGTAATTTACAAATGAATGGATAGTGCTGTACACAAAACTATGACAAATCGGTTGCTTCTCCTATACAAAATTGCGAAAACAGTCTGAAGCCTTAAGGAGTACTTGATCACAACTCGGTAGTTCGAGAAACAGGATCACCTGGATGAAACCTATTTGGGAACAGCTACAATGAACGACCTTCACGGTATTCAAAAAAGCCCCATCATCCCACTTCAAGTCTCAAATTATATATCTTGCGTTGAAAAAAAGGATAAACTTTTTAAAAACTTTAAAAAAAACTAAAAATATAATATAAACTAACCACTTTTAATCATAAAATACCAAAAAGCACAACAATTTATTAGTATGATATGTTTTAACGCAACAGTGACACGTATTAGCCATAATATTATTAATTTACAAAAGATTAGAAATTTTCAAATTAAAAACAATATATAAATTTTAAAAAGTTAGGCCTGTAGACCAATAACATCGACGATAAATTAAAAGGTCTTATTAAAAGGCCCACAGACACCGGAATTTTAGAATTATGTACATCACAGTATAATGTTTTCAGTTTGAAAAATTCAAAAGTGTAGAGAATCTTGAGTCGGTCGATTCTGTGGCGGCACCGACCATGGGTCTTCGTTGAATGGCATGTTAATACTTGTGTTATATGGGGGTGGGGGTGACATCTGAATTTTTATTTTTATATAGTAATTTAATCATTCTCAAGCGACAAATATTAGGCTTAAAATCCAAAAACTTAAATATATTTTTAGGCTTAAGCATTAAGTATAAAAACCTAAATTTTTTAAATCAAGAGTAATATTGAGCTAAAAAATATCCTTTTAGGTTCCAAAACCATAAAAAACTTTTTTAAACTTTTAAGCCAGTTATAATATCTTGTGGAAAGTACTTACAGTAGGAGAAGGTACATATCACAATAATAAGAAGAAAACAACTTATAGGACAACACATCCAACAACAACAACAACACAATTAGCATCACATTAGAAATCAAACTGTAATTTGAACAGTAACATTATTCAAACTTTATTTTTTGTTTCAAAAAGAATGACGTAATAAACTAAAACTTAGGATTTCTCGCCAAATTCTGCTTTAAGAGAAAGCACGAAATTATTTAAAACAATTAAAAATAAAAATTTAAACTTACAAAGCCACTCTCCTCCACATTCTGCTCCTCTGTGTTAGCCAACCTCGTAAACACTTGTTCAAGAGAATCCTGAATCAGATAGAAGTCACCAATCAGCTCCACTCCAGCCTGTCGATTAACTTCTCCCACAAATCGTTCAATATCAGCGTACATTTGACTCCAATAACTGCCAGCCTTCTTTGGTAACATCCACGATAAAGCACTGTGTTCAACTGAAGAATCTGTAGCCGCTACATCAAACATCTTCCTCACGGCTTCGTCCACAAACGCGGCGTTCGCTGATCCTGGATCGTTCAAGATCAATGTCAATATGTACGAGTTTCCATAGCGAGACTTGAGATGTTGACTAGTACCAATACCTCGAAGTCGACCAGCACGTAAGAAGCCGATTCTAGTACAGAGGGCTTCACACTCTTCCATCGAGTGAGTCGTGAGTAATATGGCTTTGTTCTGGTTCCTCATGGCTATCAGAAGGTCCCAGATGTGTCTTCGAGTAGCCGGGTCCACACCAGCTGTAGGTTCGTCTAATACCAAGAACTTGGAGCCAGACATCAGACAACAGGCAATTGATAAGCGACGTTTTTGACCACCACTGTAAGTTTTGACAATGCTATCAGCCTTTTCTTCCATCATAACACATTCCAGTACTAGTCTGACTCTCTCGTCCACTTCTGTGAAACCATTAAGCCTTCCGAGCAGTTGTAGGGTTTCTCGACCGGTCAGACTTCCAGCTAATGCATCGAATTGGGGACAGTAGCCGATTGGAGGCGTGTTTTGGATAGGGATTCCTAAGATAGTGGCCGTTCCACTTGTGGGTAAGATTTGATTTGTCAGCATGTCGAATGTTGTTGTTTTACCAGCTCCGTTGACACCTGAAATAATGTAATTCAAACTAAATTATGTTAATCAAACTTTTTAAAATCTTTAGTCCACAAAGCTACTGTAAGATCCAAAAAATCATATCGTAGCTGATATATTACGTTAAAAACGTTGTTTAATATAAAACAGTCGTCTTTCACTTCTGAATACCTACCAAGCAACCCAAAACACTCATTAGAAGCCATTCCGAATGTCAAATCTTGTACAGCGCACTTCTCTTCATTGTAGTACTTGAATAAACTTCTGACGGCCAAAGAAAGTTGATAATCACCAAGGCCAAGAAGTCGTTGTCTTTCTTGCTCTACATCATAATCTTCATCCGCAGGTCGGATTAGGTACTAAAAATAACATTTTATTTTTTTCATTTAAAATTTGAAATTTAATTTTTTTTCATTTTTTAAGTTAAAATTCATTTTTTTATTTTTTTAACCTACATCCAATTCGCGTATTTTACAAAAACTTACATCAGCAAACCGCTTAACATGTAACTTGTGCATAACCCGTAGTAAAATCTTTGATTCAATCAGTACCAACCAAGTTACGTACAATATAATGCTGAGAGTAAGGGCGACCAATGAAACTGTTGGGCCATCCGACCAGAAATCAGTCTTTCCTCCTGCAGTCAAGGAAAAGTCGTCACTATTGTAAATGGAGGTGAAGTTAACGTCCTTTCTCTTACAAACATTAGTACAAGTGTTTTGGGAGCGGAACAAGCCGACGGCTGGGAAGAAGATATCCAGGACTAGCTGAAATAACATGAATTAATTGGTTTGCCTTTGATTTTTAAGCCAAAATTAAAAAAAAGTTATATCAACTTAACCCTATAACAATATAATTATTACTTCAATATTACCTAAGATTTTACTATCATAACTTCAAAAAAATTAAATAATTCTCTAAACTCAATTCAAAAATACTTACCATGCCATAATTAATCCAAGAACTAGTATTTGTTTGTAAAATGACACTAGCAATACCAGCAGCAATCGCGAATGCTGCAGAGAATACCATTGGAATGATGGAATGGAACGCCAAGATGAAGACCGTGCCTTTTGTCGGCGATTCGAATGCAAAACTGAGAACATAACTGGCGAAGGAACTGGCAATAAAATAAAGTACCCAGATTGGTACTATTCCCAAAGTGCATTCAAAGTTGGGGCTTGTGGCCAAGAAGCTGGCGACAAAGACGATAATAGCTAAGACGATAAAGTATATCATGTCTGATAAGAATTGAGCTGTCCAGTAGGTGTATGGTCGAGCTGAGGCTAGGTAGAGCTAAAATAACTTGTTTTTAATAAAAAACTTTAATTTTAAAATTTAATCCATTTTTTCAAGCTTTTTCGTTGAAGTCCTCACCAGTACTTTCAACTTTATTTTTAGTACTCATATTACTATGAAACACGATTTTTTGTACTCTAACAGTGTTATATCAAACTTCGTTGTAATACCTAAAATCAAGCCTTATGTTAACGCCTAAAACCTTAAAATTCCAAAGTGATGACTTACCTGATGTTTGAACTTCTTTCTCCTTTCAGTAATAACTGATGACAAAAGCATGGCCAAACCAAAAGTTAATCCGAAAACATTGAAAACGCTGTTCATAATGTTGTTGAAGAAAAAGCTAACATCAATCGAAAAGTTTGTGTCATTTCCAATCACACCCACTCGAATGTTGACTGAAAAAGAACAGTAAATTCCACAAGCGGCCAGAGGCTAGTACTGGTAAATAAAAAAGCTTCATCCACAAGTACTAGACTTTCCTACAAATTGACGGCCCAAACTAGCGAAAGATGAGTGCCTCACTTAAACGTGCTTTTCTTACTACGGAAACCTCTTTAATAAGACCCTCAATAATAGTATGCCCTCCATAGAGTATACCAGCTTTCTGACCGCTCTTGAAATAGAACTCGTATCAAAAACTACCAAGGTACTATAACACCCTAGTTACAAAGACAAGTTTGGTCTAGTCTCTTAAGCATCATAATAAATAAATTTTACATATGAATATCCCCTAAACTCACTATTCTTTCCATTGCCAATAACCAAATTCGTCCAAAAGTTGACGGCCAACATCATGCTATTGTGCAAGAACGGACTGCCAGCTAACACTACGCCATTACTTGACTCCATGATACCCAAAGAATTGGCTGGTATATTAAATTGTTTGTCCTTCAACTCGTTTTCAACATAAGCTTGTTCTTCTACATTGCATTGACTCATTTGCTCGTTTACAAAACCTTTGACCAACGAAGAATAACCGGCGGAAGCCAAGATGGTTGATTTCGGTAGGGTTCTTAGGTTCAATAAAATCGCTTTTTCCTCAGCTAAAACTTCGCAAAATTGAAATCTTCTGATAATTGAGTCATTTCTTATACATTTTTTCTAAATTTTAGAAAAATTTTTATCTAAAAAAATATAATTGTTGTGCCAAGTCTTTTATATTATCCTTCATTTTCATCGTATATTATGATTGATTCAGCTTGCAAACCTACAACTAGTCGTAAAAGGCTTCCAATTAGCAGGTTCGTCTTTTGTCTTTATCCATAAGAACAAGAAACATACGATGCACACGAACACTGGCACTAATGTACGAGCGAAATGTCGATACATATACAAGTAGTTTCTCCACATCAAAGCGAACAGTTGAGTGAAGAAGTTTGGCTTGCGATCAACTGAAAATGCAGTATTTTAGTAGTTTAAAAATTTAGATACATTAAAAATTTAAGAAGCAGTCTTTACATAAAAGCCTATAAAGAAATGGGCACCTTTTACATAAAAATTATAGAGAAATAGGCATGTTACCCATGAGAATCATAGTTTATCATATAAACTATGATATAAAGCCCCAAAACCAACTCACCATCTTGTTGTTCCACTTTCAACGCATTCTCAGCGATCTTTTCGGCCAATTGTCGACTACTGTGCTTTTCCGCCTTCTCTCCCACCTTGATAAACACCTGTTCTAGTGTATTAACAGACAGTCCGAACGAATCGATACCCAGATTGTTGCGTTCTTTTTCCAAAAATGCAAAAAGTTCCACAAATCTGACTTTACTTTCGTAGGGCAGATTCAGAACGAACTGTGAAGCCGCACTACCGTCCATTTTGGCGGTAGGCACAGTTCGTCTGACCAAATCCAGTACTGTTTGAGCTCCAGCCACTGATTCGACACCTTGACGAAGAGTTACAGTCAATAAGAAGCCAGTTCCAAACCGATTTTTCAAAAATGTCGAAGTCCCAGCACATGTGACTTTGCCTTTGACCATGATCAATATACGGTCAGACAACATGTCGGCTTCATCCATGTAGTGAGTAGTTAAGATAATAGTTCTTTCGGCTTTGAATTTCTCCAAAATTTCACCAATCTGCCTTCTGGCTGTTGGGTCCATTCCAGCTGTAGGTTCATCGAGTAGTACTACTTGACTTTTACCAACCAATGCCATAGCTACACACAACTTTCTCTTCATTCCGCCTGACAGCTCTTCTGCTACCTGAAATTCATTTTTTTTATTAGAAAGAAGGCGCAGAATTAAGTGAACAACCTAATAATTGTTTAAAATCAAAAAAATCGCTAAAATTTCCCATTTTTAAACCTCATTTTAACCAAAAGTAATATATTTCACATGGCAACCTTTAAAGATCTTTAGCAACACACAATTCTAGCCCATTCCTTACCACATTCATAGCATCGCCCAGTCCAACCTGCTGTAAAACATGCTTACAGTCATCGTCACCATGATAAGATCCCCTCAGCTTTGCCGCCAACCTCAAATGTTCGATACAGCTCAATCGATCAAACAAAGGATTGCCTTGAGGACAGTAGCCAATGTTCTTCCTGATTTCATTCAAGTTGTCATCGATCAACATTCCACACACTTTGACGTCTCCAGAAGTTGGCGATGTAAATCCAGTTAAACAAGAGAACGTGGTCGATTTACCAGCTCCATTGTGTCCCAATAAAGCCGTAATGTCGCCACGGAATGCTTGGAACGATGTCCCGTTCACTGCGTAGTCGCCGTAGCCCCAGCGCTTTTTTAGATTTATTACCTAAAATTTGTATTTTTATAAAAAAAGCTGTTATTAAGCTTAAAAATACAAAAAAAATAATCTAAAAGTAAAACCAAAACGACACATAAAACTAATAGTAATCATAATTGCAGCTCAAACCAAAAAACAAGTAAAATATTACCCATAACCTACCTCAACATCCGAAACATTTTTCTGATTGACCGGTTCAAAGTCTCCATCTTGTAGCTTCACCGACTCTTCAGGTATGATATCTCTCGACCTTTTTCTTTTTGAGTTTACTTTTTGAAAAATCGACAACAAATTGACTCCTGGATTACCAGATGAAGGTAGTACAATATCCAAGATTTGAGTTAATAAAATAATTAAAACAGCATCGATAATAAGAAAGATTATTGCGTGCATAAAGCCGTACTGGTAGGTAAAACGGTCGAATACGCTTAGTGGAATATCTGAAAAATAACAATTTTTTTAATTCTAAAAATTGTTTACCTCCCCCTCCCACCTCCAAAAAAACATCATCCCACCCCAAAAACCTACCATATCTCTGATACAGCTCCAAGTCAGCAATTGCCATTTTCAATGCAGTTATTGGGTTAAATGAGTAAACACACATCAATCCAACTTCAAGTCGGTTTGAGGTCAAAGTTAAAGCCAAAGCTGAAGACGCAATACATAGTAATATATTCACAGTGATTGCTACTCCAGGACGATGCATCACAGTACCACAAAGTAGAGCAAAAGCTACACAAAATGGGACAAATGCCAATGTTATTACCAGTAGACTAATGCCGATGGCTGGCTGTAAGAATAAGGTGATTATTAGTTTTATAAGATAAAGTAAAGAGGAATTACAGTATTAAAATAAACAAGTTAAAGTACTGAAAGAGACAGTATGCCAAAATAATAAAGTTTTTCATTTTAATGATATGTCAAACTCAACGAGTCATAAAAGCTTACTTTTAAACCAAAAGCTAACGGTAAAGCAATGATGAACATGATCAAAGTCATCTTGACATATCCAAACAGATAATGTGACGAATAGAAGCTGAATCTGCTCATTCCGGTAACAAGTAGATAATTCTGAAACAACACATTATACTACCTAAAAATTCAATCTTTTTAACCATAGTAAAGCCTTGTAACTATTAGAAAAAAAGTTAATGTAAAATGTGCTATAACTTCTCTACTACAATATCTAAATTAATATTAAAAAATAATGAATTACACAAAAAATAAAAAAAGCAATGTACCTTAATATCGTTTTCAGTTTCAGCAATCAAGTCTTTGATGACAATAGCCATTGGTATAATAACAGCCAGTACCATACCCATAAACAAGTTTGGTAAAATCAGTGCAATGATTGAAAACTTGTATGAATTCTGGGGTAACTGTTCCAATATGATCTAAAACATGATAATATAATAAGTCCGAAATATCTTTATCCACATGTATCATAGATTACATAAAGATAATATTATAATAGGCTATTAAACAGGCTTTAGGTAGGGTTGATTTTTATATCTAAATAACAAGCCTAGGCATTTCAGCCAAAGCTGGAGCTTTAATATTCCACTACAACAAAATATACCAGACCTACTAAATACAATATCCTTACAAACCTACTATAACATCCTCTAAAACCTACTGTAATATCCGCCTAATCTTACTATAATATCCTCCCAAAACTAATGCAAAATCTTCTCAGATTTACTACAATATCCTTCCAAAGCTACTACAATACGTCCAAACCTACCTCTTTATTCGGAACTGTAATGTCCGAAAGCTGTAACAAGACCCTATTGATGGTATACTGTAATTTACTGAAATCCCCCCTCGTCCAGTTCAAAAATGTCTCTGTAGTGTTTTCAAAAAGATCGATTATCATGGAATGTTCGTAAGGATTGCCATCGTCCCATCCAGAGCCAAAGTATATTTTCTCTAAGTAACCGCCGTGGTCCTTGTCATACTTGTTGGTTGTAAAATAGTACTCGTACTCATTTTTGTTCGGAAGAAAGGTCGAGAATTGAATCGCCTTACTAGTGGATTCTGTGTCGTATGGTCGATCCTTGAAGTAAAGATCAAGTCTTTGAGCTGCTTGTTGGAGAAGCTCAAAGTCCGCGTCGTTTAGGTTACTGTAACATAAAAAATGTATAGATTTTGTTTGTTTTTGTGGCAAGAAATGTCAGCAGATAGCGTGGAAAGCCCAGAAAAGTGATAAACTTCCCTTCCGAAGCTTCTTTTGACCTTATTCTACTATTTTCCCCTGGAAAAAATAGTAGAATAAGTAGCTACTAGAATATTTCATAATTTAACCATTATGACCTAGCCTAATACAAAGAAAAGCTTATAACTCCTGTCAAAAAAGCTCTATAACTTGTTGACCAAACAAAACCACAAAGAACCCCATCTCACTACCCACCACACTTATATCCACCTTAAACCTTCTTCACAGTAATATAAACTTACTTGACTTCAAACTCCGTAATCCTTTCCAGTTCCAAAACCGTGTGTTGACTTCTAGGTACGACAAGTGAGTCAAATTTCGGAGATACGATGAGCAGAATAATAATGATTGGCAACACGAATAATGGCACCAGCAACTCACAACAACATCGCTTCTTACTTCGTGTTGCTATTCGCACATCCTTCGCCGCCAGCGCCCATAACTGAGCACCGGTCGACATAAGGCACTTTTCTGAAAAAGATTAGTTTAGATATTAAAAAGCTTGTTTTAGGTATAAAAGACCGAAAAACTTTTCCCAAGATTTTCCAAAAAAATTCGAGAAAAGAGAAAGTACTGTTAAAATTACTGTAACTTTAAAAATACTGTAAATTTCAAAAAATGTTTCTAAGATTAGTTGGTCAAACAAATAATCTCGACTCACAACAAATTTCAGAGGTCTACCTCAATTTTAAAATAAGTTATGAGCAAAACAAGGTAACTTATTACCTATTTATCAAGCAAAATTGAGAAAAATATTACTTTCACAAACAACAACTGCTATTGCGCGTATTTTACAACAAAACCTAATCAACTCCACTCGAACATATAATATAAAACTTTTGATATTGAATACAAAACTAAAATATCAGAAATTAGACTACAAAAAGTGATTAGAATATTGGAACGTCAGAACAAATAGCCTCGGGAAGAGGATAGCCTCCTTTCTCAATACAAAAATAAAAACTAAATCAAATGTTAAAAACGCTTTGATCATGACTCATAATAAACTAAAATATTATTCCGAACGTGTACATTTATAACCTAAAACAATATTTTTATATTAACATTGGTTTTGCATGTTATTACGGAATTGTTAGTCATTTTTGAGTTTAAAGGTCTGTTTTTGAGTTAAAAAGTGTCTTAGGCTTCAATTTAAAAGTCAAAAATATATTTTTTTGCATTAAGCACCACAAAAAAAGCCAAAAAACAACAAAACATAGGTAAAAAAAGATCATTCAAGCTATAACAATATCTGAAGAAGTCTAAAAATAATAAAAATTAGTTTTAAGCCTAAAAGATAACATGAAGACTTGAAAGCCTATTCTGCATTTCAACAAACAGTTTCCAAATATTTTACTTTTTATTTTGCCAACATTTTATAATTATTATAGTTTCCCAATACCAAAAGAACGAAGTGTCACATTTGCCTTGGGCGCGCTAATAAATGAAAAAACGGGTAAGAACTACAAGATTGTAAACTAAAAAGATGAAAAAATGATTTTCAGTTAAAAATTTTTTTAAATTTTTTTTAACACGCCGCGTCATTAAATTCAAACCAGAACTGCAAAAACGGCCAAAAATGTTGATTAATTTGTGAAGAATTCAATAATAAAATTTATTAAAGTATAGAAAACAACTGTCTAACAAAGGGTTTATATAAAGACCACAAACCGAGTGATATTTAGGCCAAAAAAACGTTTGAGAATCCAGAAAAGAGCCGTATATTATTCATGTTTTCTTGTTTGTTTTTCACAATATTGAGGTCTAACTTTTAAAATTAAATGCCAACTTGTTGTAACGTAATTGGAAAGGCATAAAATGATAGTCAACAGGGATTCTAATCGATAAAATAAATAAATTTTATCAAAATGTAGGCAAAATTTATCAAAATATAACTAAAAAGTAAAATAAAATGAGGTTCTGTGTACTTTTTGACCTTCATAACAACATTTTTTATAGCAGATGTAAAAAGCAATAAAAAACAATAGATCTTTAGTCAAAATAAGCACATTTTTGAAGCTTAAATTCCAAAACGCTTAATAATAAGAGCTTATCATTCGAAACAGTCATTACTTTAGGTGCAGCCTTTCAATTCAATAACAGTTTCAAATCTAAAATATTGAAAACTTTTGAAATTCTTAAAAAGACATTAACGTTGCCTAAAACAGTTAAAAAAACGGTCGTTCACACATTTATGCTCAAGAAAAACATCTTGACGCGTAAAAGCAAGGTGAAAGTAAAAACAACAAAAACACTACTCAAAAGAGCCTTTTCAAATAAACATTCTCTTTTCTATTTTTATCATTCTTTTCCAATTTCAATTTAATTTAACTTTAAATTCTAACAAACGTCTACAATTACAATTTGAGAGATATAGATTATTTAATGATTTGATGCCGTACATTATAACGTACTGTGCTGATAAGCAACTTGTTTTATGTTTAGATTAACTTTAACAGAGCTATATATTTGTGTCTGAATTTTACTATAGTGGTATTTTTCAATTGTTGGGCTTTTACTTGGTACTTTTTAAAACATTTTGTAATTTTTTTTCAGTGGACAGTAGAACTCTTGTATTACAAATGGCTTGAAAATTTTAAATTTGCTCGTTATAAAGGAATTTTGTTATACAAGCGTTTAAAATAGACTCTGTAATGTAGGCTAAGGATTCAAAAATTGTTTTTTATACAGGGTTTTTGTTATATAAAAGTTTCGTTATACAAGAGTTTTAAATACACTTTATAGTGATAAGCGGAGATTTAAAATCGGCACTTTTATACGCTTCGTTAAATTGGACTTTGTTATACAGGAGTTCTACTGTAATTCCTTAATACATTTATCTTTCTTTGGAGTTATAATATTACCTACTTTTAGCTACCTAAATGCATACTTTTATAACGTTGATCATCCAAAAACTACATTCAGTATACAACTACAAAAAAACATACGAAAGTTTATTTGGCAAATGTACAAACAAAGACCGTTTCATTAACAATTTCAATCAAGTTTTGAACTAAACCATTACTTAAGATTAACACTTTACATTATGTATTTTTTAAGTTTAACTTTACACAAAAATCATGTAAGATCAAAAATAGTGTTTCCGTTCTTCAAGTTACAGAAATCTTGTGCTAATAAGGTTCAGTAAGACGATACTGTTTAGAATGATAAATAAGGGATATTATTTTAGGTGATTGTTGTAGTCAACTGTCAGCTTTTTAAGGCTTTCGTATGTTCACTATACTTAACTTTATCCTCCTTAACTTAAGAGCATTTTATTAAAACAAGGATTAATTTTGAAGACAAACCTAAGTCTTTAAAAAACGACCAGTTGACTACGAAAGACATGAATATCAAAAAATAAAGATAAAAACAATAATAACATGGTAAAATAAGCAGGCTGTTTGTGGTGAGATATCATAGAGTATATTTTTCAAAAACTATTCGATACAAGATTAACAATTATAATGAGTTAGATATAAAAAATGAGTATTTGTGACATTAAATGGATTCATCTATCTGACGATAAGAAAGTAGCACCAAGAAGTGTAATAAATGGTGTAGTAGGTATATGAGAGTTTAAGTAAGTTACTTAAAGGCAAATTTTAACTTTTTGAAAAGTTAATTAAATTGACAAAGTATTCGGTAATACGCGTAAATAAAAAGACAGAAAAAATTTACAGTGATATACTATATTCGATGTAAAGGTAGTATAACAGTAGCTTCTTTCTCATTATACTACAATATTTCTACAAAAATATCCTCCCTAAGCTCACTAAGAATTCCTCAACAGTGGATCAATAGGTTCACGAGCATGCTCATTAGCTTGTAGATTACCCAAATCTGACACTCGACTCGAATCCAACGATGAATTTGGAGCAGAATCTCCAGATTGACGTCGATTGCCAGCTGCCTTCTGAATCCTATACCTCCTGATGAAGAAAACGGCAATTCCAAACAATATACATGATATTATGAAGCCAATAATTGTAACGTAATACCATGGGAAAGCCTTCTGAACATGAGCTTCACGCTGTTTTGGCGGAATCACTGGCGCCGCTGTAGCTGGAACGTAAGTTGGGTGTGTAGAAGATGGTCGACGGCTTTTGGTGGTCGCTTTTCTAGTTGTAGTTGGCGAAGTTGTTGGTCGATTAGTGTTAGATCTTGTTGTTCGAAGGTCGAATTCATCGTCTTCTTCTTCATCGTCAAAGTCTTTGTCTTCTTCAATTGGATTCACTATTTTTGGCTCCACTTTTGTTGTTGGTACTACTTTTGTTGTTGTTGTGGTGGTGGTTGTAGTCGTTGGTTGGGGTGTGGCTTTTACTGTTGTTCTAAAATTATGTCATTAAATTAGTATAGAGTAGGATAGGATAGAGTGTGATAAAATAAGGTAGAACAGGTTAGAGTAAGGTAGGGCAAAGAAGAGTACATTCGATTAGAGAAAGGTAGGGTATAGTACAATTCACAAAATCAAAAAATATTAATATCTAAACCTACGTTTCAACCCTTTTAAGTGTAGTAGCTTTAGAAGTAGTAGTAGTAGCTTCTGTTTGCTTCTGTGTAGTCCTTGTAGTATATTCTGGCAATGTAGTAGGTTGAACGTACTCGATCTTCTTCACTGTCGTACCGAAAGTAGTTGGTTTGTCTGGGAATGAAGTCGTTGTCTTCATTGGGCTCAATCTGGCTTCTGAGGCAGAAGCTGGTTGTTCTGGAGCTGCAAATATTTTTAATAAGCCTTAATTTTAAAATCTTTTAAAATATAAAATTTAAAAACTATTTTAAAGTAAAAAAAATTAATTTCTTACCAGTTGTGACGTTTCGAACGTGCAGCCGAGGGAAGAAAGTCGGCCACACATTGTTGTTGTCTTTAAACCTTCTGAACTTGGACCACATTAAACTTTCAGTTTTCCCGTTACAAAATCGGTTGGCACAACAACAAGTGAACACATCATTATACATCAGACAACCCACTTCTTTGCACATGTCTGGTGGTGCACATCCAACGTTCTTTTCTCCCTAAAGATTTCAGAAAATTTTGCAAACGTTTTTTAAATTTTTTTGTAAAATATTGTGTTTTTAATCGACGTATTTTACAAAAAAATCTTTATGTTTTCATAAAATTACCTCATAGAATCCAAGAGCATCGTAACAGAATCCGGTTTCACAAATTCGATCAGTTTCTCCAGCACATTTAAATGGTCTTGGTTTTGGTAATGGGTTGGCCTAAAATTTTTAAAAATATTTTTTAAATGGGATGTGATAGACCTAAAGATTGTAAGGCAGGGTCAGGGTTATAATAAGATTAGAGTAAAAATACTGTAAGGCTGGGACAGGGGTAGAGCATAGATAGGGCAGAGGTAAGGCAAGGTAGGTCAAGGATGGGTCAGGGGTAGAGCAAGAGTCGGACAGAGGTAAAACAGGAGTGGGACAGGGCGAGACAGGAGTAGTGTAGGGTTAAGGTGAAGCTACTATAAGGTTAGGAAAAGAGTAGGGAATAAGTAGGGCAACAGTAAAAAAAGAGTAGAACAGAGCAAGGATAAGAAAGAGGTAAAGCAGTGGTAGAGCAAGGTTAGGATAAGGCGAGGGCAGAAGTAAAGCAGAGGTCAGTCAGGAATCAGTCAGGGTTAAGACAACGGTAAGGCAAGAGTAAGGTAGGATGGAATAAATGAAAAGCTACCCTAGGGCTAGGGTAGGACAAGGCTAGGGAAGTTAAAGGAAGATAAGTGTATCGTAAAGGGATTGAACAATATTTTCATTGCTTAATATAAAAATATGGCGCTAGGACAAATGCGGTTTTTGGACATTTGCGGATCTTCGGTTTTTGGACACTTGCGGATTTTAAAGGTTTTTGTTTATTTCTTAGTTAATTCAGCTGTATTATGGTACTAAATTGTACTAAAGTTTGAATTGGTACGGTTTTAACATAATAGTACCTTTTTGGGCTTTTAGTACTATTTAGTACCAAAAATATAAAAACAGTACCGATTAAAAATTTAGTACTATTTAACATTAAGAAATATTAAGACAGTGCCAATTTAAACCTTAGTACCATTTAGTACCATACTACAACTAAGTTAAATAAAAAATAAAAAAAACCCCTTTAAAAAATCCGCAAATGTCCAAAATCCCGCAAGTGTCCAAAAACCGAAGATCCGCAAGTGTCTAAAAACCGCATTTGTCCTAGGGCCAAAAATATAATTTGCATCTTACATCAGTAAATTTTTGTATCAAAATGTCATTTTACTGTAAATTTCCCTTTTGCTAAACTACATTTTATAATGAAAAAATTGAACGTTGAGCAATATATCACATTCTTAGAATAATAAATCGGTCAATCACACTTTTCCGATCAATTATTTATGTGTTTTCATTAATTTTATCGTTTTACAGTCGAAATTGTTACAATAAAAGTTGCAAAAATATTTATTTTTGTCCAGAACTGTATATAAATTTTAAAAATTTAAAAAGTTTTTAATTTTAATTTAAAAACAAGCTAAAGATTTAAAATTTAAAACAAATTTTGTAGTAATATTTATGATAACAAAAATTTTACTTTTAAAACATAATTTCCCTTTTTCTGACTGTTTTTTACAAAAACTATCTGATTATCTATAACAAGATTAGCCCTTTCAAACGGCTCTTCAGCCCCAATTTCAGCTATTTTTTCCGTTATTTGTCAGAAGATAATCAAAAACAAAATTATTGACAGGTTGATTGTTAAAAGTTTTTGACAAATGTCACAATGTTAACGTAAACTAATTAATAAAAAGTTTTGGATCTTGAAGTTTTGACATTTCAATATAGTTTTTGCAAAAAATGAAACCTTAAACTTAGTAAACAGGTTTTTAAAAAAGTTGAGAAAAGCTCTAGTTTAGCTCTAGTTGAGAAAAGGTAAACTTACAGAAACAATTGTTAGCAGGGTAAATAATAATGATATTGTAGTATGTTTTGTCATGTTTTTCTGAAATTTTTAATTTATAACTAAAAATTGTTTTGAAATTTGAAAAAAACACGCATATAACGAAAAGAGCGGGAAAGAAACTAGGAGCCAGAAACGGACAGCCTAGGCCCGACCCAGCTCGGCCCTACGATCGGGCCTCCTTGAGGTAAAGTTGACACGAGCTAGGCCTGAAAACTAGAAGAAATACCCCCCCCCCTACCCCCTCCCCCAAACGACTTCTGTGCCCTATACTTAAAAATTTAGTTTTAAATTCAAAAATACCTTAAAAAACTTAAAAACATTATTTAAAATAGATTTAAAATTTAAAGTTAAATAAAGAATGGTCCTTGTCGGAAGTGAAAAATTGTTTGACTTTTTGCTTGATCTCGTTATAACAAAAGCTTTGTCGCCACATAAAAACAAAGTTAATGAATTAAAAGTTAATCAAAAGCTTAGTCCAAGAAAACAGCTGACTGAGCTTTTTTGCTGTTTGTGGATTTTGAAATTTAAGGAAAATTATAGGTGGTTAAAATTAAAAATTTTAAGAAAAAAGGTAAATGTAAAATACGTGATACGTTTGCATATATTTAAAATTCTGCTATTTGTTATAATTTTAAATTTAAAAAGCTTTGCAAAGTTCACTTGTCTTTTATTTAAGCCAAATGCTAAAAGCATTGAAGTAAAAATTTTGAATTTTCTAAAAAATATTCTTTCATTACCTAGTTGTAAGTACCATATGTATTAATGTAAAAAATCAATCGGCAATTCCAACACATAAACGTTTAATTGAAACAAGTTACAAGAGTATTGTGTTCAACAAAGGTTCAATCGCTCTAATCCGATTTTTAGATGGACACGCGCCAAAGCGCGGCTACAAAGGAATTCAAGTGCATTTAATACTCAATGGTCTCGCATTTGCATACTTGAAACTCTTCTTTTTTCGCGTAAAACTTAAAAAAGGTCTTTTAGAAAAAGTACAGTAATAAGCACCCTACTAAAAGAAATTTTGTTATTTTAATCTAGCTCCAGCTCTAGCTCTAGCTCAAGCTCTAACTCTAGCTCTGGCTCCGGCTCTAGGTCTAGCTCTATTTCTTACTCTGGCTCTAGCTCTAGTTCTGGCTCTGGCTCTGGCTCTAGCACTAACTCTTGCTTGTAGCCTTAGCTTTTAGTCCTATCTTCCAGTCCTAGCTTCTAGCGTCTAGCACTATCCCTAGTCCATAACCCTACGCATTTAAAAACGAAAAAAGCAACAAAAAATCCTAAAAAACCAACGATTATTACCAAGAAAGCAAAATAAGTAGCCATTTGCACTTCCCATCAACTCGGTTCATAAATCATCTCAACGTGATTAAGTTGATATTGTAAAAACTTTGAAAAAAGTACGCAAGTTGGGTTAGGTAATCATAATTGCAGGTGGCAGAAACATTATTTTACAAATTGAAAAATGAAAAATGGGAAACGTGAAACACGGCGTAGCAATAAAAAGAGAGATAACCACGCCCATTTCAACGCGTTTTCAGAAGGAAATTATGGCGGAGAAGAGAAAGTTACTATGTTGTAGTTGCAGCAACCGTGAATTTTTAAAAATTAAAACAAAAAAAATTTTTTTTGTTTTTAAAATTAGAAAAAAAGCTTTTCCCCGTCATTATAACCCATTTTCCCACTATCTCATAGCAAATAATAACCAAAAATTTCAAAAATCCAAGTCCCAACGTCATCACGGCACACTTCGACCCCAAGTATGACTAACCAATATCATAATTATATTACAACACATACCATCACAAGGTTATAAGACAGAGCCATAATGTGTTTATTTATTTTGATCCCAGTCCATTCGATCCGCCCCGATTCGAGAGGGTTTGTATTCGAACCTCGGGAGTGACCTCAAAAGCATTGTTCTCCTGAGGTTTCTGGAGGCTCTCCCAATTAACTCATTTAATTTAAAAGTATTTAAAAGTGTGACGAAAAGAAAGGTAGATTAAAATGTTGCAAAATTTTTGTTTAAAACTTTGGATTTTGTAAAATACGCAGTCAGACACTCAGCATTTTTTAAAAATTAAAATATTTTGAAAAAAGTATCTTGTTGGAAAGACAAAAGTAGAATTGTAAACTTTATAGATTACAGTAAACGTCTGTATTACGAACTCTTTTATAACAAAAATCTGTACAGCAAAAAACTTTCAAATCTTTAGTTAACACTACACAGTGAATTTAAAACTCCTGTGTAACGAAATAATTTTATAAAAACAAAATTAAAGGAATAAACTCTCGTAGAAAATTAATATAAAATTCCTTTCGTGTTTTCTTACTGTAAAAACTTGTAACTTTTATAACCCCAATATTGGTAATCTGATATTGCTCTACGTATATATTTATCTATATTAAGGATAGAGGAACGTCTGGTCAAATAAACACTGTTTCCGATTATTAATTTAATATTCTCACGGGTTTAAGACTAATTTATTTATATCTTCAAAAGGGCAACTGGATTAGGAATAGTTTTTACAGTTTTTCCAATTTCAGATTCTCAATTTACAATATGTTAAAACACAGCATCTAGTCAAGAATTAAAGCCAATAAGCCTATAACAAGATCTTGATGAATACAAATTTTGTTTTAAAAATATAATATTATTGTTTTTAAAAACACAAAAAAATAAACAAAAACATGTACAATTAACAGCAAATGTGTGTAATTGTTTATTATCATGTTTCTGCTAAAACATCAAACAAAATTTTGTGATTTTTAATTTCTTTTCATTTTCAAATTTCAAAACGAACTTTGACAGAAAAGGCTGAATAAACTCATAAATAACGGGCTCGTTATTCTAGAGCACAAATTGTTTTATACAAAATAAAATTTTGGTGGCTTTACAATTACATCACTATTTAATTTTCTATACATATTTCAAATTTTAACAAAATTTCAAAAAGTTTTATCTTTTGCGCAGTGCAATAAAAAAGCCAAATTCTAATAAAGTTTAATTTTTTTGCACGGTGCAGCCAAAAAAGCAAAATTTGAAAAATTCAAAAAATATTTAAAAACAGTCAAAAACAGACCTCAAAACCAAAAAAAAACAGCCATTTCAAAACGCACTACCCTCAAATTGGCCCGTTATAAAGAACTGATCAGAATAACAATCAAAAGAGAAAATAAACATGTTTGCGTGGCCATGTTTGTTGCCTTCCCCATTCCGATTCAAAGTCGTAAAAGTGCAAAATCAATTCAAAGCAATTTGAAGATTTAGATAGCTATAATAAAAGAAAACGTCGTATTCTCATATATAAATTTGAATTGGTGCTGGCGGTTTTGTTTACTATAACAATTTATTTGTGGTTATGTCAGTTACGTGAGTAGTTAAGCCCTTTTTTGGAAAATTAAAATACGGCTAGGGTAAAGGCGGTTTTAGAGGATGAGGCAAGGGGGACGGAAGAGATTTTTGAAGGAAAAGTTGAGGAAAGCGAAGAAAATCAGAGTAGAATGAAGAATGATAGAGATGGGCAAGGCAGAGCAAAGGCAGGGCGAAGGCAGAGCAAAGGCAAAGCAAGGGCAGGGCAAAGGCAGGGCAAAGGCAGGGCAAATGCAGGGCAAAAGCAGGGCAAAAGCAGGGCAAAGGCAGGGCAAAGGCAGGGCAAAGGTAGGGCATTGCAGAGCAGAATCTACTCTTTTTAAAAAAATATTTTAATTTGAAGACCTTTGGTATTCCTAAAAGTAAATACTCTCAAAAATCTACCCAGCTCATCATAATAACCCAGCTAGTTAAATAATAACCTTGGTCATCATAATAAATTCCAGGCCACCCATAATGCCGACAAGGCATAAATTCCTAATCAACTGACAGTTTTTACTTTTATCACTACTTTTATAGCCGTTCTCTAAGCAAACAGTTTGCGTTTTGAAAGAATAACAGGTAGTTTTTATAGAGTACATATGAAAAAGGGTGTCTCTTTTATATTTTGATAGTAAGTGTGAAGTTTTTAAAAGGGCAAAGTTGATAACAAGGCTGAGGGTCACTTAGTGGACACTGAAAAATTTTAATTTTACAAAATTATATTTACCCTCAGTACCTGAAAACATTTACTTTACCTTGAAAACCCGCTCTCTTCTCTCCCCCCCCCCCCCTTTCTATCCCTTCCCCTCCCCTAAAGCAAAAATTCTAAATCAGCCCAAGCGCAAGCCTGTAAACCAGTCAAAGCCTTATGATTCAAAAACAAAACTTTTCTTTGTTTTTTCGTGATCAAAAACTTTAGGCGGCTACCATAAACGGCCAAGTTGCTTCAGCTGCTTTGTTTCTCATTAGAGCCAAAAGGTCGCAAAGAAAAAATATTAGAAAATGCTTTGAAAAACCATTTTCGAATAAGGAAACGGTTTCAAAATAATTTGCAAAGCAAAAAATGACTTGGAAGCGATTTTGAATCAAAGAATCTGAATCTGCTTCCATTGCCAATTAATTAAAATTCCAAAAATAAATTTATAAAAACAAAATGTCACCGCTTTTTCTAAAGAGAACGGAACGCTGAACAATGTTTTCGACATTTCGCTCAAAAACGACCCTTGTGCTGTTTTTAATTGAGTAAAATATCTGGCTGTAAACGAGTAATAAACATTTGGAAGGGTAGGGAAGATTCTGAATTCTAGGTTAGATTAAGAAATGCACGTCAGTTAGCCTAAAAGAAGCCTACTATTCCCGGCTCAAATTTGGAATGGGCTAGGTCGTTAAATGTAGGCTCGAAGGCTGGAGCCAAACCAAAGTTTGCTCTTTTAACAAGCCTAGTTATAGTTACACAGTACGGGTGCGCCAAAAGTTCTGTTACAAAACTTTGCCGGTCGTTTTCCCTATGTTGCGGTTAAATTATTATTATAGTATTTGTAGCTAAAAGAGAAAAAGGATAGAAAGAGTTAAAAAGAATAAAATTTAGAAGACAGACTGATAATACCTATTTTACTTATTTATAACAGGTATAGGTTGATTTCTTGTCATAAAAACGAGCTTCATTTGTTTTTAGTTTAGGATCAACCATTGCTATGTCTGTATTATAGTGTTATTTATCAAAAGTGCATTTTAACAAAATATAAATCTTAAAACAATTTTTTTTTAAATTTTTGAGAATTTTTGGTTTTTAGAACAAAATACACTTTATTTAGCTTTTACATTTTTCTCACCCATACTTTCCGAAAAACTAACATAAGACTCTTCAACCCTAAAAAGCCATTCCCAACCCAAGAACAATATAAAGCAGCTCAAGAGCTTAAATTGAAACAGGTATAAATCAAAATCTTTATCATTTTTCATCACCAATGTCCCTCCCACGTTCCTCACGTTTTAAGGGAACGGCAAAGTTTCCAAAAAGTCATCAAAAGCCTGAACGGAGCCTTTAAGCACCAGCTGTTACTTTGTTCTTTTAATCACTATTTTGCCACAGATTAATTAAGAAAAGGTTTTAATTGCGCTGCTGAGCATAGTTAACAATTTTTTTGGAAAAATTTAAATTTTAAAATTAAAAAATAGACAAGTTTAGAGTAGAATTTCTTCAAATAACCACTCGGAGGCTCATAGATTAGAAGCCGTCATTATACAGAAGATGACACATTGTCTAGGTTTATACTAACGAGTAAAGTACCAAAAAGTCTCGTCGTCAAATTACCTGTACTTTCACACCCAAAACCGCCAAAACGTTTCTTAACTTCCAATATTAACAATAAAAATACAAAGAGTTGCAAAATGGTGCCAATCTCTCTTGTCTGGAGATTGCTTTTTGTTTCGTGTTCATTTTTGCTGTTTGTCATTCTTACGCCTAGATATCCTCCTCCCTCCAGCTTCTGATTAATGGGTTCTAAACTCAAAAGAAATGCTTTAAGCCGCAATTAATATTACTATCTCCTCCAATCTTTGGCTCTTACTTTTTATGCTTGTAGTTGTTGTTACAGTACGTTTTTTTTTCATTTTTTATGTTTTTCAAAAAATTTTAAACTTTTTTTGAATTTTATAGAAAAGTTACTGATAAAAGATAGAAAAAAAAGTATTACTGTCAAATAATGTAAAATACGATGATTCTATTATGAAAAAGACATGTAACTCAATGAAAAACCAATAAAACGTAAATGCTGTTTGCTCTTTGAAGCCCAACATAACAAAAAATAATCTTCAAACTTTGTAGCAATTTTTGGGTTGATAAATGACCTCAGGGACAGAAGAAGACAACTCAATTTGTCAGCTTTTTTCGAATTTCAAAGTAAATTACAATTTTTAATTGATTTCAAATTACAATTGCAATTTTGCAGCGCTTTTGGAAAGAGAAGAGGAAGATAAGTGCAATCTGTGCCTGTATGAGAAGGGAGAGTGGTATGAGAAGAAGGGCAAAGGTAAGATTCACAAACAAGGAAAGTATCCAAAATGGCCAAAGAAGAATCAGCTTCAAATTTTTAGATGTATCTGAGTACCACCAATAGTAAGCATTAAAAATTTTAGCCACGCTTTTGAGTTTTAAAATTTAAATATTTGAGTTTTTCGTTAATTTAGCAAATTTGGCATTGTGTTTCAAACATTTTTTTTTGACTTTCCAGACAGCTACGCTTACAAACTTACAAATGTCGGTCTATATAAAGGTTTTCTACCAGCATTTCAAAGGGAAATAAATACAAGTAAAAAAATAACAAAGTTATAAGCTTGAAACACAATGCCAATTCGGCGGAGAATTAAATTCAAAATTAAAGAAGATATTTGCCCGCTCTACCTAATACTACTGCACTACAACCACCAATAGCAAAACATCGCCTCAATAGCAACTCGTCACTGCAATTAACAAAATCCCAAAGTTAAATTGTAACCATGTCAATGCGAAATTGCTATCCAAAACCGAAATAAGTTTGCATTTATTTGGGGTCATTGTGCGCAAACAAAATGTTTTGTTGTTGCGGCGCAAACGGCCGGTAATTAACGCCCGGAATAGAGTTGTATACTGTTTGTAGTGTCGGAGTGACCGGTCAAAATAAAATTTAAATTTTTAGAAATTTTGTCAAAAATTACTTTTTATCATCTGGTTTTTGATAAAACGAAATAGCAGTTAGTTTATATAATTCTGTGCCCCCCCCCCTCCCAACACAAAAATTTGCTTTGAGAGGAGATCAGAATTATTTGAAAAAAAGTGATAATTAGATTCATCGTATTTTACAAAATGTTTTTAATGATACCATACAAAGTAAAATATACTTAAAACTACCGTATAACCAAACTTATATAAGTTACTTCAAACTTACATACAACACCCAAAAATTCCAATAAGTTTCAAATTTCACCTCTTTTTACTGCTTTTTAAAGTTTTTCAAATTTTCACTTTCTAAGACGAAATAATTACCCAACAAGACCATTCACAATATCCTTGCGCAAACTCTCGCCGGTGCATTACCGCAAAATTGTTTTAATGAGTTCCATCGCACAATAGACAGCCTTATAATCGGTACAACTATTAAAAGAGTAAATAAAACTTTAAAACATTTGTGGTTGGTCAGAGATTTTTGAAAATAGTATTTTAAAATTCAAAAAGTAAAAAAAAATTCAAATTTAAAAAATTGATTAACCAGAAAAGTACTCAACGTGCTTTACTCAGAATCAACTCAAGGCTTTTATATGAGTTCTTTGTACAACCAATAGTACTTATAAAAAATTTTAACTTGCGCTTGTTATAAATATCCAAATATCTGAGCTTCTGCCAATTTTATACTGTTGCTTATAATCTACTGCTGTAGCTTATAATAAGCCTCTACGATGATATTATTTATTTCACTTTTTGAAGGTATAATAATATTTCATTCATAGCCTCAAATTTGAGCTTTTAAAATTCTTTATTAGTTAACAAAACATATTATAGTAATGCGATAGACACAATATTAAAATACTTCATATTTATATAATATTCATAAAATCACATAACATGTACAGTCAATATATATCTTAACAAAGTATGCTCAAAGTAAATTAAAAAATAATAAAATTCAAACTTTAAAAATATTTGTGCAAACTCTTAAAAAACTGAGCGATAAACAAAAACTTTAAGTAAAAAAGCTTGTTTCATATATTTATATTATAGTACAATTAATAATTAAAAAGCTTATATACAGTATATCTTTCAAAAAAAACCTACAAAAACATGTCAGGCTTATGTTTTAGATAGTTGTGTTAAAATTTAAAATTATTGAAGTTTCATAAATGATACGACGTAATACATCACCAGGCTTGTTAAGTATATTATAGTAAAACTGTCGAAATACGCTGCCATTATGTAGTACACCTGTTTTCTGTCTTGTTCTAAATCGTAATACTTTATCAGTAAACGATTCCATGATGTGATATAGAATCAGTTATCCAACTCCATTTATAAACGTGACCACGGATGTTTTCCTAAAAAATAATTATTAAAATTTCAAAAAACCTGGGCTTTGAAGGTAATAAAGTAAAACTCCTGTATGACGAATGTCATGAAAATTTATAATTCCTTTGTTATAAAGGAGCTTTGTTATACCGGAGTTTTACTGTATGTTATATAGCAAAGTAAGATTATAGCAGGTTCAGTTATAGAAGTGTAATATATAATAACACGCCCTACTTAGAGCTATATACTATACTCAATTATTTATGCAACAATAATAAAAAGATTTAGACGATTAAAATAGAGATACTACATATAAATTAAAAAATCTAACAAGCTAATCTTCTTGTAACGCATTAGAATTGTTAAAAATTGTACTGAATTTATAGCATCGTCGTATTTTACAAAAATAGTTTTATATTCCCTAATCATATGAACATCAAATCACCCAGAACTTGCGTAAATTTTAAATAACTTTCCGAAATATTAACTTACTTTGTGGTTTCATCTTGATAAGGGTCATAATCCAGATCACATCGTAGGCAAGATTTTAGTGGCGTATTTTCATCAAAACCAAAAGTTAAAGGTGCTGTACCATTTTCAGGTGACGGGTTTTTTGTTGGACAGTCACAAGGTGATATCTGAAACAATTTTTTGATAAAACTTGATTTTAAATTAAAGTTTTGGTTTTCAGCAGGGTTTAGCTGACACTTTTTGCTCTGACTAGCTCTAGATCCATGTTATTTAAAAAAAATGAAAATCCAATTTCAAAGCCCTTAAAATTACCAAACCGTACCATTTTGATTTTAGTCTCGCCATTCTCATCGTTCTTTCCAGTCATACTGACTCTGGTCGTTCCATTTCGAACTTGATAGTACGAGGCTATTGATTTAGAGCCTCTCCTTAAGTCTGATGAGTGTTGAAGCTTGAACCTTTGATAGCACGATTTGAGGACGGATTGTACCTAAAATGGCTTTTGGTAATTTCTTTCTAAACTTTTTTACATATAGTTACATAAGTCTCTCGTCATATTAAAAATAAAAGTTTTTTATACAATCCTCATATGTCATACAAAGAAACGTTTTTACAATACGGTTTTACTGTGCTTATAATAGTTAAAGCTACTAGATTAGCCATATAATTCTGTGCAGCAAATTTTTGAGACGAGGGAGCACATAATTATTTGGACAACTTAACAGTTAAATTATACTCTCTTTACTCACCTCCCGATTCGTAAAACAATAAATAATTGAAATGAAGAAGCCCTGATACATGTATGTGAATGATGCTACGTACGTCCATATGGCAAAGTACTAAAGATATACGTATGTTAAACTTAGAATATAAAAAAATGTTTAAAAAATGTTGTAAAACACTTTTTTTTCATTACGGATACCTATAACAATAAAACAAAATAAAGTTTATATTACTTTACAATGACTTGACTTACCATCATGTTTTCCTGAGTTGGAGAAAAAGGTATAGTCTGCATAATATTGGGAATACCAAGTAATGGAATCAACATTAATGCAGCTTTCACGCTTTTTCTGAAATAATTAGAATTAATATTGTAGTACATAGTAAGAGATTTGTATCTGTCAGCTCTATACTCAATATTCTTTTAAAAATTTTTATTGTGTTTCAAAGGTCTTTCAACCTCTCACCACCTCTATATCCTTAGGGCAGACTGGTTTTTCCCCGCTCCCTCGGATCCTACCATCATTTTGCCCTACCACAATATAATACACCTAACCTCACATCCCTATACATGAATAAAAACGAACACCCACTTCATCCTGTCCAATTCGCTCGTACTGTGCGAATCGCGGACCTTTGACCATAGTACCCGTATGACATTGCAGATGAAGAAGGTGTTGATGACAAGCTGAATCATCCTCGGCCCGTCCAGAATCCAAAAGTCCGGCTCCAGATAGTAATTCCCAAGACATCGTTCTACTTTGCCCTGTTTCTTTATCACAATCACAGCCAGCCATATCATCGTATGTATGAGAGGTATACCATAGCCAGCCAAAAGGTATGGGAAGAGCTTTGGCTCGGTGTTGAATACGGTTAGTACTAGTTGATTGTGAAGGTAGAAGCCTTCTAAGAACATCCACCAGAAACCGACAGTTTTGAAATATTCTAGTAGAAAGTAGGCGAGTTCACATACAAATACCTATAACAATATACAGTTAATTCTAATAAGTTTAATTTCAAACATACAAAATCTCTTAATTTTTATGATAACAAAAGTATGTCATAGCTTTTTAAACCAGCTACCCTTTTAAAAACCCACCATAGAGTTTATCGTCTTCCCACCCAAATCGGCCATCGGTTGAGAAATGTCAGTGAATTGAAGGTCGATGTAAATTACTAGGCGAATTATCACCATCATCATTATGGCTATCATCAGTTGAAGATGCAACATGTTTCGAAATACCCGTAATCGACTGAAAATGGCAAAAACTTTATTTTAAATAAGCCACTTAGGGTAAAATATGGTAAGGTAAAGAAATAGAATAGGATAAGATAGGTAGAGTAGGATAGGTTAAAGTAAAGTAAGGTAAAATAGGGCAGAGTAAAGTAGAGCACGGCAGAATAGGGTAGGGTTGGGTAGGGAGGACAAATTAAAGCAGGGTAAAGTAGGATATAATAAAAAACGCCATTGTATTTTACATTAAAAAAATAAAAAAACTTTTGATTAAACAAATTTTGACTTACCTAAATGATGAGAGAATAAGAATACTGATCAATAAACTGATAAATGATAAGCCAAGCCCGACAAACTCCAATTTTCTCGTGTTTTTGGCAATTTCTTGTGCCATCTGAAAATGAAACCTTTCATTGAAATTTTATTTTATTACCTAAAAAGATATAGTGTTTTTCTTAGTCTTATAACTTTTCTTTATTTTATTTAGGTTTCTTTGGCTTTGTATTTTATTAGGTTGTTCAAAAATTTTCGGCTTTTGGGCCTATCGCGACCCAACTGGACTTCTAATCCCGAAAATTTAAGTTTAAAGAAAGCACAGTGAGAGATATGTAATTTTAAAAGCTTTTCTTTAAAATCTTAAAAATGAATTATTAAAATTTAGTTTTAAAAGTAAAATACGCCTATTTGTCTTTCTCTCTTTAAAGACCACAAAACGTCCTCAAAAATCATTGGCGTTTTGTGTCAAAAATCAATAATATCTTACCACAAGTGACCCGTTACTCATTCGCATAATGTCTTCGACTTGTTGTGTGAAGCACATTGAGAAGTTTGTCCAGCCGTAAGGCCGGGAGAAGTCGTCCACGGTCTTTCCCTGCCAATGACCGCTTGCGTGGCATATTTTCGTAATTGATTCTGAAATTTTTAATTTGTGAAAAATATTTTTTGAGCTAAAAAGATTTTGTAAAATACGAATTTTAACATCGACAAAGAGACAATTTATACGACAAAACCTGTTTTTCTGTTTTCAAAAAAATAAAAAAAAATTAATTTTTTTAAATATTAAATAAAAAATCATATAACAGTTTACAAAAAATGTGGTTCGTTACTTACTAGCAGGATTAAGGCCCTTAAGCGGCGGACATTGTAATGTTATAGTAGAGCCGGCTGGGGTTGCCGGCCAACACAGCACTGTGTCCCATGTTGCGTTACACCAAAGCGATCCGTCATCTGAAGATTAACATTTCAGTTTTATGATAGTTTAATTTAAAATAATCTCTGACTAACACGGACATATGTTTTTGAGTTTTTTTTTAATTAAAAAAAAACTGTTTTAAACGTCATCGAGTTGAATAGAATAAGGTATAGTAAAGTAAAGTGGAGTATGGTAAAATTCAAACCCACCATTTTTTTAAACTATTTTTTTACTTCAAAAGCTTTAAAAATTATTATGAAACATACCTGTCTGCGGAAAAGCCGGCAGTCCGCTGCGTTCCAGCGCCGATAAGCATTGATCCATGGTTTCGGCAAGATTGGAGCGAAGGCCTTCAATCGAAACGAGCGCATTCTGTGCTCGCGGCACGTTGAGCGGCGTTGAGAAAAACGTGGAAGTCGATGGAGCTGGAGTGCTGACATTCTGGAACACATTCAAGGCCTGGCCGGCCAAAGACATGCGCCTGAAACAGAAGGAGGTTATAAGGGTTGTTGGTGATTGTTTTAGGTATTATACATGTTTTAGTAAAAAGATAAAATGAAAAATGAAGAAAATATGTTGAGGCTTATTTAAATTTAGCTAGACTTATAATATTATTAACAAAATAGTAAAGTACGACATTAAACAATCAAAAAATCAAAAACAATTTAAGTATTTGCACCTAGTATACCTAAAATTTAGTTTACAGCCTATAACAATCCCAAAATGTACCTCAACATTTACAATAAGGAACTATAAAAAGACCTTATCCTTACAAAAATATACTAATTAGTATAGGACTTAATATCGCATAGAAACATAAAAGTAATATACTGCTTAATATTGAAATATTGCATACAAATATGTACAAAGTAACAATAAAACCTCGTATCACATGTCTAAAGCTGCTGTTTGGCACGGCTATACAAAGTAATTATCTGTAATTATAATGCCAATACTTGGTTACATTTTACTTTTATAGTTTTATCGTAGTGAATAGCTTAGTAACTCTTAAACATATATAAAATAAAAAAACTTTTAAGAGTTTTTTTACGTTTTAAATTTCAAAACAGACACACATAGCACTTGGATATACTAACTACAATATTTCGAGTAGCGTATCATTAGACAGAAGTTTACTTAGTACTGTTCAAGTACTTTGTTTTTTAAAAATTTCAGATATATTTAGGTAACAATTTCTAAAAAGCTACACTTAATTTTAAAAATATATTATACTATTATGCCTTAATTACTTGTAACATCATAAGACGTGGTTAAGTTGCACTTTATCTACAAATTGTCTTCAAAGGCACAGCTACGTAACAGAAGATTAAAAAGTTCAAGTATGACAATTATAAGACACGCCCATTTTTAGTGCACCGTGCAAAGATAGTTTTAAAATTTTTAAAGTCATAATATCGATACGTCATCATTTGATAGTTTTTTTGATATTTTTATAAATTTGCATACGAGAGTGTTATAAACAACAACAAAGTCATTTTAAATATCGAAACTAACATCTTGAGAAAGTACCTACTAGTATATTATTCCACACGCCTAAAATAAACTTTGATTTACTGTTAGAAACGCCTACGGACAAAACTATAAATTGGACAGTAATTATAATTGTACTAACTAAAGAGTTAGAAACAATGCCGTACAGCCACTTATTTCCAAATTAAACTACAATGTCTTTTATCGTAAAAAATACATGTAACAGGTATTATATTTGTGACGCACGAGAATCCTATCAGTTACTGCAAGATGTATCATACAAATTAGCAGAGTAATTAATTACACTATAACTTGCATCATATTGAAGTCAACCTATATGCTATAGGCACTGAAGTATATAGTTTGCAACTTTTAATCCTACCCTACCCTATGAAAGAACATGTTATAACCTTATTTACCTTTCCTAACAATTCCTGTAATCCGAAAACATTAAAAACAAGTCTAGCTACCATAACCTTTTAATATAGACGACGAAGTTGACCATGCATAACATAACATATAATTCCAAATTCAAAAAACTTTCCGATGACTTCTGGATAGATTGTTATTGCACAACTACATCATTATCAGATGCCAGAAAACTTCCCGGTCATCCAAAAGCCACAACAATTCGTTTATAAGCCTTAAAGCGGCCGATAATGAACTGAATTCGAAAAAAAAATTAAATTATTTCATATCGCCGCCGGGAGGAACAACCAGTTCAAAACAATTTCAAGCACAGATTTTATAACGCCGCTATGAACGATGCGGGGAGGGGTTTACAATTTTTTTTTAAATTTTTTAAAATAAGGTATCCCCCTGCTCTTTTCGAACTATGTGACCCTAAATTGCTTTACTTTTGTTTGCCATTCACGACTCATATATACCTAAGCCTACCTACTACAATATGATCTTAAAAAACGCATAAAAATCTCCAAAATAACGCCAAAATTAAATAAAAAAACTCTTAGAAACCACAATTTAATAAAGAATATTCTCAAAATCAACAACCCAATAAAGTCTATAGCAGTTCACAAAAGCTTCAATGAAAAAGTAAATGTTATTATAACCAGACATAGTGTCAGCGTTCCGTTCTTTATATGTTTATGCCCTTGTGTCGGATTTTGTAAACAACAGAATGAAAAATGTCGAAAGTTCCGGCTTCAATATTGTTACATTTTTATTGTGAACTAGAGGCAAAAGCTGTATTATTTTACAAGGAAAGCTTGAATTGCCCCGCTTTGATTGACTTAAAACTTTTTGTATAGAAATATCATGTAAATAAATGTATAAGATCTTCAGCAAAGTACTAATTGCACTTTTGAAAAAATCTCGAGAAAATCGAAATCAAGCACTTAAGTTTTGAAGTTCCCGCCAAATTGGCATTGTGTTTCAAGCTTATGTCATTTTTTGACATTTAATCATTTTTCCTTGATATACTAGTGAAAAAATTTTTAAAAAAAATTTTCAAATTTTTAAGCGTAGTTTGTCTGGAAAGTCGAAAAAGTGCTTGAAACACAATGCCTAATTTGCCAAATTGGCGAAAAACCAAAATAATTCAAATTTAAAACTCAAAAGCGCAAGCTAAACTTTTTTATTGATAGTACAAGGAATTAATATAAAAATTTTGAGCTCAATCTGAGCGGAGCAGGTAGAGTACATTCCTTGTTAATATAATCCACCCAACATTAAAAAATACATTTTTGTAAACTCCTACTTCAAACTACAACCCGCATAACTTTATATACAAACAGACCCTAACCCAATAACGAGCAAGTTGTTATAAGTCCTAAAACATCAAAACAAGTTTAATCCAACTAAATACTGGCCAGAAATTGAATTTTCAAATTCAATGCACATGTTTTTGAACTTTTTTTTGTTTAAACTAATTTTGACTTTTTAATTTGTGCATCATTTGACTTTTTCTGGCTAAAATGGTCTTTTAAGAATGCTTGTTTTAACTTTTTTTGAACGTTCAGACCAAAGAAATGCATTTTTTATTTCGAACCAAATATGCTTAAAAAATAATGTTAAAAATTAAAAAAAAAATTTTTATAAAGTATCATTTGACCTTTCCCACCAAAAAAATGACAAATTTCCCCATCACAACCCCTTCTGCCAAAAAAAGTTTAAAAATAAATGATTAGAAGGCCTTGGCAATATTCCGAAGCCAAATGCCACAAATTTCGAGAAATACGCATGACTGCCAGGATGAACACAAATTAATTCGAATTGCCTATAATTCGAGAGTGAGGCTTGAACAATGTGTTTTGAAGGAGGAGTACACGTTTTTAAACGAGGAATACAAGGAAGCGTTTGTTTATTGTAGTCTGGCAAGTTATTTGTTTGGTACTGAGTTTTAAAAGCATGTACTTTTGTGGGTTTGAGGGATGTTTATGGGATGCAAAAAATTGATATTCGAAATTCAAAAAGTAAAAATTTTGAGCGCAAAAATTGTTAAATAATTAGAATAAAAAGTTAAAATATCAAAAAACTGTTGGCTTTTTTTAACTTATAAAACAGCGTTGAAAAGCGCCAAGACTTTTAGTACAAAACTGCTAAACGTATATCAAAACCTCACGGAACAGTTAAGACACAATAGCTTTTAATGACGCTCTATCCTGATTTCAATCTTTGAAGCCTTAGAACTAACTATTTCTTGGCAAGACTTGGAAAAACAATAAAAGTCGATGAGTTTGTTAATTTTAAATTGTCTACCCAAATACTCCTTCAAATTTCACTTTTAAAATTACTATTTACCAAAATAGTGTGAGCCACTCCAGTGCTCTACCTAAATAAAGGCTGTTTTTAAGGTTATACATATTAGAGTAACAAGTTTGTTAAAAAATTAAAATTTATTTTTTGTTTTAAAAATTTGCTGATAAATCCAAACATATTACTTTCTAGAGCTACAAAATGCCGAAAAAACCAAATAATTTTAAAAAGTTTAAAATTAAAATTTAAAATTTAGTTTTAAACTCCAGCTCAATTCGCCAATATTTTCAACACCTAAAACTCTTTCAAAAATAATAAATAAAAAAGCAAAGAAAAAACAAGTATAATATATCTTTTGGCGGTAATTTTAGCCGGATTCCCTTAGCTTGAACTGAAAAGAATTGACACTAATTTTCAAGCGTTAGTGTAAAAATGTAAATAAATGTGTATTGATGTCTAAGTATTTGAAATTTTGCAAGAAATATATATTTTTGGAAAGATAAATGTAATCATTTCAAAGACACGGTAATTAGGTGTTACATATTATCATTTAAAGACAAGGTTGTAAGGTGTTACTAAAGTATATTCTTAGATAAAGTATTATAATATTAAAGTACATTTTTATAGTAATCTTCTTAAAGTTTCGCAATTTAAAAGTACATTGTGGTTTCTAAGATATAGTAAAAAAGTAGTAGTATATGAATATACACATATTAAGGAAATCCATTGTATGTATGTAGATAACACTTCTATTATATAAGTAATGGTATTTTACAAACTAAAAAATGAGATAATCCTTTAATCAAAACAAATGCCAATCATTTTTTAAAAATTTCAAATCTTTAATTTCAAAAAAGCAATTTAAAAACTATTAAAATTCATTTTTGAAAATATTATAGCCACTTTTTTCATAATATTATGTTGTTCAAATAACTCAGTGCCGCTTAATACCACAAATTTACTGGTGGAGGCTGAGAATTATTTGAACAACTTAATAAAACGGCACTGACTGTTAAACACCCCCTAAAGTCAACCCACTATCTACCTTGATTACTACCTGTAACAATAGTATACTGTAGTTTTTTTTCTTTTTCACCCCAGCCCCTAGCTCCTCTCCCTCTTTCACATTTTTTTACATCAACAACCGCCGTCCTTTCAGACATTCCCAATAACGTATTTGAACGCCTCAATTTTTTAGTACTTATATTGAACTGAAAGTGTAGTAAAATACTGACAAAATACAGTTAATAGCCCGCTAAATGTTTGAAGTG